TGCCCTCTCCAGCGTCATCACGAACTCCTATCAAACGGCTGCACGTTTATTTGTTGCAGGTGGAGGGGAAGTCAAGTCGAGTGAGGGAACCACTCAGGGCGACCCCCTCTCCATGGCCTTTTACGCAGTTGCCACCATACCGATCATCACTCGTCTCCAGGAGCAGCACACATCAGTCCGGCAGAGCTGGTATGCGGATGATTCCAGCGGAGCAGGTAGGCTGAGACAGATCCGGTTGTGGTGGGACGAGCTGCAGGCAATTGGACGGCGATACGGATACTTCACGAACTCCGAAAAGACCCAGCTCCTTGTCAAGCCAGAGCTGGAGCAGGAAGCACGCCAAGTGTTTGCCGAGACAGGGATCCGGATTGTCACGGGGAGCTTGCGTTATCTCGGCTCCGAGATTGGATCGGAAGAGGCGGTCGCGGAAAGTGTGCAGCAACGGGTGGCGAAGTGGAAGGAAGAGCTGAAGAAGCTTACAGAGATTGCAAAAACGGAGCCACATGCTGCCTATGCTGCAATATCTCATGGTTTACGTGGTAGGTGGACCTACCTATTGCGTACAGTACCTTTCCCTGCACAATGCCTTACCGACCTTGACAAGGTGATCACAGAGGAGCTTCTACCTGCTCTAGCGGGCCGTGATTCCTTCCTACCAGAAGAATTGAACCTTCTCCGCCTGCCCTGTCGACTGGGGGGGATGGCCCTGCCGTGTTTTCAGCAAATGGGTACGGCAGAGCTCCCTGCGTCGAGAGCTGTAACGGCCCTTCAGGTGGAGGAGATTGTACACCAGAATGATCAATACACCCATAGCTCCACGGAGGATGTTCGCCAGGCAGCCCTAAGCGAGAAGACACGGCTAGCGCATGACCGTCGTCAGAGGGAGCAGAATGATTTCGTCACGATCAAGAGCAGTGCGTCTCCTGCCCTGGCTCGTCGGCTGGAGAGTTTATCCACGAAAGGTGTGTCGAGTTGGCTCGGGGTATTGCCTCTGGCAGACCATGGTCACCATCTGTCCAAGGGAGACTTCCGCGACGCTCTAGCTCTCCGCTATGGTTGGTCTCTCTTGGACACACCAGCGAGCTGTGTGTGTGGGGAGCCGTTCGACGCCACGCATGCGATGATTTGCCCCCGCGGAGGTTTCCCGACAATTCGCCACAATGAAGTAAGAGATATCGTGGCGGATCTTCTGACGGAGGTATGCTCAGATGTGGCAGTCGAGCCTGTACTTGCTCCGATCACAGGCGAGGTGTTTTTATCGGCATCAACAAACACCGCGAACGACGCCCGGGCTGATGTCCGAGCTCGTGGGTTCTGGACCCGGGCTCAGAATGCGTTCTTCGATGTCCGGGTCTTCCACCCGGATGCAGCATCATACAAGAGCAAGCCCGTCAGTGATCTTCTGAAGCAACATGAGCGCCGCAAGAAGAGTGAGTATGCCGAGCGTATCAACAATGTCGACCGTGGTTCATTTACCCCTCTAGTCTTTACCACGGCGGGTTGTTGTGCTCCGGAGTGTACTGCATTCATTAAGCGGTTGTGTGCATTGCTGGCAACTGCCGATCGACCGTATGCCCAGCTAATGGCCTATGTGCGGTGTCGCTTGTCCTTCGCTTTGCTCAGGGCAGCCATAATGTGCATTCGCGGTGCACGTTCGGCCTACCATCGTCCAGTTAATGCGATGAGGGAGTTGGCCATTGTGGAGAGCGGCCTCTAACTAAATCTAAGCATGTGATTGAGTGGTCTCTGCATGTTGATCGGGTAGCGGAGTTCCATCACTGACGCAGTGTGCGGGTATTGCATTATGAATTGGTTGAGTAGATAGTTCCGGAATTAATTCCGTGTTCGATATTGTTTATTTTCTACATATTGTTTATTTTATTTTATTCGTGTTCGATATTGAATTTTAATTTTAATTTATTTATTTTTTTACAAATATTGTTTTTATTCCATTTCACATTTTTCATTCGTGTTGGGTTTAACTACTCACTGTACTGATACATGGTGATGATTGTGCTTTGCTTTGCCCGTAAAAGAGGCCTTCCCCATACTTCTATCGATTTCATTCTCACCAAATATAACCTGTATACTTTCTCTCGCCGTGTAAACTTGAAGCTGTTTGTGTTTGTTTTTAGGTGTCTATCTCGTTGCACCAGTCCTCTTTTAGGCACGATATTTACCCCCGCTCTGCATCATGCCGCACAAATGCTGCTACCCGCGGTCAAGCTTCAGCCGCTCTGAACCTACCCAGAGCTACGTCTCGTTACGGCCTAAATGCTATTTCATTTTTGGCAGCAGACAGATGGAACATGCTTCCACCTGGATGTCGTCAAGCTAAGCCCCTTTCTGCATTTGTCACAAGCACCAAGTCATTCCTAGGGTTCCCAGTAAAAAGGCAACGCCTGTTGGGAGTTCCCTAGTAAAATAATAAATTCTACTACTACTACTACCTGTGACCCGGTACTATATTCTCAATCGGGTCCAAGCGCCGCCCAACTGGGTGGATTACCCGGCTCACCCGGCGCTGGAGCAGACACTGCATTATACAAACATTTTCGGAGCATTATCCGCTGGCCCCTAGCCAGCGGTGAACAGTGACAATGGATGGCGGTTGTTGGGCGATGTGTAGACTCATCACTGATACCAAGTTCAATGTTCTGTAGTATTGTTGTTGTTGCTGCTGCTCATGCTGATGCTGTGGTTATTGTTGTTGTTGTTGTTTGTTGGGTGTTGCTGTAGGGGCTGTTGTACAATCATCATGCAGGTGTTGCTGTACGTGCTGCGTAGGTGTCTTTTTGTTTGTGCAATCATGCTATCATGTTGTAGACATTGGCTCCTGATTTTTTTTGACTGAGGTGAAATTTTTTCGCAACACCTAGCCCCCCCCCACATATTTTTCATGCTATCTTCCCCCCCCCCTTACTGGCACCTTTTTTGGCCAAAATGTTCGTATTTGTCACTTACATAACAATTATCACAGATTCAACATTCTACATTTATCAGTACTGGGTGAATATGTCTCGAGACGAATTTAGCGGATCAACAACGCTTTGCTGGAGATAAATTCTCCTCTGGAAGACCCTCAGGATACCTGGAAGGGTATAGAAGACGGGATCGCTCACAACGTTGGGAGAACATAGAAAACAACCTCCTCTTCGATTGAAAATTGGCCAAAAAGTATGTGAAATGTATGTGCGTAGGTGCATTTCCACCGGCAAGCTAATCCCTCATTACGTCATCAGCGCTCGCTCGGCGAAATTCAAAAGTCGTCTTCCCGCTCGACTCGATCGCTTCTGGAGACTCGTTCTTGTTCGAGGGGTCTTCTCTTTCACCTACCTTCGTCTTGCCATCGAAAACTCGGCGTCGAAAATGAAGCCGGAGTGCCCCTTTAAATAGATGGACAAAAAGCAGGGGTAACAAGCAGCAGTTTCACACGACGATCGTTTCGCCGTATATAAAGACGGCTCATCAGGTGTGCAGGAATGTACTCAGATGGAGAGCCAAGGTATAATTTATACAAAAGAGAAAGACCAAGGAACTACAAGTTACGCTATACTGTCCACTAACACCACCAGTTATTAAACAATCAGCTCATGCGATAACATTGCACGACACTGACCGACGGTACTGACGTTCTACAACTAACTGGCTAACAGCTCTAGCACATCTTGGATGCGCACTCCAACAGCCTTTTGACCGTATTGTCCAATGGTCTTGCCAGTATCGTCATCGACATGCATGAACATCCGCCAACGTCCTTCACAGCTGAGACTTTCAGCTCGTGCTTATCTTGGTTGCGCTCACCTTCCCCTCCTTATGTTATTTCTATAACTTACTTAGAACCTTCCAAGTTGGACGGCTGTTGAAGTGCGCATCCAAGATGTGCTAGAGGCTGAGCTGTTATCCAGTTAGTTGTAGAACGTCAGTACCGTCGGTCAGTGTCGTGCAATGTTATCGCATGAGCTGATTGTTTAGTAACTGGTGGTGTTAGTGGACAGTATAGCGTAACTTGTAGTTCCTTGGTCTTTCTCTTTTGTAAAGAAGTTGATTGTTCCAACTAGGAACACACGCTTCTTGCCGAACTTGACACTTGACTATTACCGCGAAATCGCAACTTCTAAGTTCGTTTTCTCTTTTGTAGTCTATAATAAATTAATAATAATACAGTATTCAATGAAAAGTATGAATGCCGCAGACATCACCACGCAACATGACAATTTGTTCAAGGTTTGGTTTTGTGTGTTTCCAAAATCGATTTTCACGTTCCGATCATCAGTGGAAATACGGAACTAAAGAGATCAAGGGAAAAACAAAGGTTAAAAATCCAAAGAAGTGTGACACATGACGGGTAACTTGTGGTAAGTTCGGTAAGTTTCCACTGATGATCGGAACGTGAAAATCGATTTTGGAAACACACAAAACCAAACCTTGAACAAATTGTCATGTTGCGTGGTGATGTCTGCGGCATTCATACTTTTCATTGCTATTATTAAACTTTTATCTCCACGTAGATTATTAATACAGTATTCGAAAAACTTTGAGCACTTGAAGTTCTACCGAAAGAAGTATACTCTACCCAAACATGTACCGGTGCATGTACAGTGCTGGCAACTGAAATACCTGAATACGGTCGGATTTCAGTTGCCAGCACTGTACAATCATGTACATACAGTCATGTACATAGTCATTGTAGATCAAAAATGAACGCCCCCTACTGTCATGACTGTAGCCCGAGATCAAAAAGTTGAAAACGAACGCACCCTAAAAAAAATAAAAGCTCCTACCACGCGCTTCGTCATGGGATTTAATCGTGACGTCACAGTGCGTAACGGATTCGTGTCGTGGCTCGTGGGCCGGGCGCGTGGCGCGCGGTGGTTTGAAGTTTGAACTGATCCAGTACTCTCGTACGATCGTACAGTCGAGAGTAGACGGATGTGTGTGTGCGCGTGTAAAAAATGCATGCAGTGCATGCACGGCACGCGGGAGCGCGAGCATGTGATTTGTATCCGGCCTGAGCCTCCCCACGTTCTTGTTTTTCTTCTCTTCTCTCTTGCGTTGAAGTAACCAGTTTGTTGTACTTGTAGGCTGAGATATCTACGAGTTGCAGTGGTGTCTGAGGGAAATCAACACACACCTAGTGGACGAGAGAGAAGCTCCTGGCTTTGAACAGACTGCACAGTGACAGTAGTGTTCATCCCTTGGGTTAGTTCCTCAAGAATGGAGTGGTGCAAGCCTGAGAAGAGGAGACTGGATAACAATGAGGAACCCAGTTTACTTCAAGGTTGCGAGGTACGAAGGTGTTTTCCTGTCGAGTGGTGTAAAAATGTAAAGTAAATGCCTGACTATACTGTATCGCAACTAGACTGCTACGTATTTTGTTTGTTTCCTAATGTTTTAGAAACGCAGAGACGCTGGATTCCGTACGTCAGAAGCCAATAGCAGCTTTATGATGCCAATGGCAATGGATTCATTGAATCAGCCTCCGACCTCTCTCGCGCTGTTCAGCTCAAAAGCGGCAGTGATTCCCGCCACGCATCATTTCAGCTCTCCATTGTTGAATCAGACCGTTGGTGTCAGCTCTTATGGCATGATGCAGCACCAGGAGCTCCAGCAGCAGGCAATGACTTCTCAGGCAGCAGGTGAATCGTTGAACACTGATTGCAGTATGGACGTAGTGGAAGCCAGGACATCAGGGCCTGCGCCTCACAGTCTAATGTCGTCTTGCAGCAGTTCATCCAGCACAACACAGTCGCCCATGCTCAACAGCCCAGCACCCACCGACTTCGGGCAAGGGGTAAGCATCAGACAACGATCTGCAGATCACACATAGATTAAAAATTTAAAGTATTTTGCACGTGCTGATTTTCGTGTGTACTCACTAAAAATTTGAAAATTGGGGTTTGCACTCCAGTTGTACAGCATCAGCCGATCAAATAGTTGAATCCGGAGAACAAAGGTACGGAGACTCAGTCTGCAGCTTGGCATGGGGTGTGTGGCGAACAAATGCCACTCACAGATGCAAGCGGTTGATATTCGGGCAGAATCCATACAGCATGGCAGTAAGATCACCAGTTCTGGACAGTGGACAGTGGTATTCCCACTCCTTGCTACATGCCCCGATAATGGATTATCTGCACATGTAACTAACGTGCACACATTATTGACCATGACTTCACTTGTATTAGGACGTTGGACTGACCTCAAGAGAGAGAGAGAGAGAGAGAGAGAGAGAGAGAGAGAGAGAGAGAGAGAGAGAGAGAGAGAGAGAGAGAGAGAGAGAGAGAGGAGAGAGAGAGACATAGACGTGTGTATGCCAACGTCTAAAGCATTCATGCTCTGTTGCTTCAAAAGCTGTGTTCATAACTGGTGCGTATGCGCAGGTAGCCATGCGCTTCTCCGCATTCTTCTGGCTTTTGAACGCGCAGAAATGGAAGTTCCAGCCTGTATTTTTCCAGGGCATTCTGGCATGCATGCCAGTCACGTTGACTGGCGAGTTCAAAATAGTACTCGATGCCGTTGTGCGACCTGAATACAACTCCAACTCTGTGAGAGCTTGATGAACGTGTATTTTGGGCATGCACGAGCAGAAAATGTGCCATGTACACAAGCCTGTTATAAAAGCAGCCCAACATTTCCGTTTCATTGGCGCAGTCCAAGGAATAGTTGTGGTTTGTGTGAGAGTCGGTCCATCATGTACTGACTTTTTCCACCAGCAAAAGTGTTGTCGTTGCCATAGCAAAGCTTCACAACTCCTTTCTGATGATGCATACTGCTTATGATATGCGCAGCGTATTCTATAGAGCTTTTTCAAGGACGCAGCGCCGTGCCCGTCCGTGGCGCTCACCCCGAGTTTGTGGTGAACGGGCGCATTGAAAAGTATACGAAAAGTGACAGGTTCGTCTCCACCAGCGCTTGGAGCCATCTTGAAGTTAGTTCTCTTTTCGTCCAAGCCATGGAAGTGCTTCCCGGCAGCTGTTCTGAGTCCGCACGAGTGTCGGACATGAAGTTGAGCGCCATCCTAGTGCTTCTTTCACCTCCCTGCGTCCATTTCCGTGCAAACTGAATGTGACCTGGGCTTCGCCTGTTCACCAGCGATTCTAAATTTCTCGCACGTGATCCCCCAAAGTGACCATTGGTCCGTCCTTGAAAAAAGCTCTATTGACAGCAGGTGCATGTCATGAACAAAACCTTGCAACCTCTTATTGAACGCCAAACCAATGCCAGAGAGCCCCCCATTGGTGGACCTGCCATGTGATACTCATCCTGGTTTCATGCTTAGGCTTTGAGGACCTGGGTCTTCATCCTAAGTGTTTTGTGTCAATGTACTTATATCTTCTAGTGTGATGTTGTAGCCCAGGATCTTACTAATGTGTCATTGTGTGGATCCTCTCTGGGGGGGGGGGTTGTATGACTTGTCCCACGTGAGTGTTGACAGTCATGTACATCTTTACTTATAAAGAAGAGGCACCTGTGACGTGTGTCTGTGTGTGTGTGTGTGTGTCACGCTCCTTATAAAGAAGAGGCACCTGTGACGTGTGTTTTTGTGTCACGCTGAAGCGCTGCGGAGCAGCGCTGCCCTGAGCACGCGAAGCGTGCGAACAGTGTAGCACAGTGTAGCTAGCGGCCGCAGAAGCACTGAGCACGCGAAGCGTGCGAATCGTGTAGCTAGCGGAAGCAGCCACAGAAGCACTGAGCACGCGAAGCGTTGGAATCGTGTAGCCACCACCACGTGCTGAGCACGCGAAGCGTGCGAACAGTGTAGGTGGTAGCGCTTAAGTTATAGCAGACACGATCAGTACGAGTAGCAGTAGCAGCCGCGCGCAGAAGCACTGAGCACGCGAAGCGTGCGAATCATGTAGCCACCTAGCCTAGGCCATAGGTAGCACTAGCAGCCGCACAAGCGCTGCGGACCACGTGAACCGTTCTCTGCAAATAGAAACAGCTGCAACAAAAGGATACAAAAGATCTGCACTGACTGCACTCTGCATCTGATCTGCATGCAGTGAAGAGCGCATCGCACTTTTGTTCGTAAGTTTATGAATTTTTTGAGCCGCTTCATCCGCCACCAGGTGATGGACAACCCTGACCAGCCTCCCGAAGGCGTAACAGACGTCCCTCCTTCTCCTTCCAACCAAGAGGAACCTCCCTCACCAGGACTTCAGCAGTCTGGCCACCACCACGTGCTGAGCACGTGTGCTGTTCATGTACTTGCTTCACCCGCATGCCACATTCGGCCAGGCAACGCTGGCCTGGGGTGCTGCTAGTACTATCATAAGAATCCCCTTTGAAAGTGTGTTAGACTTTCTGTGTAGAAGTGATGGTTCTTCTCTGAACTTTGTTTGTTGCCTTCAGCCACGCTTTGCTTCTCCAGCAGCTCCATGTCCACGATGCCTTGCAGGAGAAGGGGTAAGTTGATTCTTCCTTTTATTTCCTTGCAGTCGGGCTTATGTAGGCTCTCTCTCTCTCTCTCTCTCTCTCTCTCTCTCTCTCTCTCTCTCTCTCTCTCTCTCCCTCTCTCTCTCCCTGACCAACACTCGCACGTGCAAGATGCCGGATTTGCAAGAGCACAGAGTGGACTTCAGATGCACTGCTTCAAGCTCAACACTGTTCCAAGTTCTTGTGGACGGGGCCTGGTCCTGGTAGGCTTGATATGGTGATGTGAGATGAGAATCTCAAGGAAACCTGCTAACTTCTGTATGGCCGCATTCACACGTTATCTACAATTCTCACACGACAATGACAAAACCAAGTCCTTTTCTGCCGTTACTCCGAGTTTCGTGTTAGGAAACACTCATCAGACGGCATGATATGACCAAGAAGCATTCACTAGAATATATATACGGAGGGGGATTTCAGAAAAGAGGGGGGCGGAGGTGATGGAGGTACAGTCAGACCTCGCTCAGGGCGCATTCACACGCACGGAAAAACCGGATACGGGTGCAGCTTACCTGGCGTGAAAAGTGTTACGGTGCATTCAGGCGTACTTCGTAAAAAGCGTTCAAATCCCCGAAGGCGCTCTTTTCGCCATGCCAACCAGGCGTGGCAAAAACAAAATTTGTACAGGAGAGGAAGAGAACGATAGAGATAGAGAGAGAGCATGGCCGGTTTTGTACATTCGACTTCTTCAAGAGGGCCTCGTCCGCTTTGGGCAAACCTAACCTGTCACTGTCATGTTCTAGATTGCCATATCGCCCAACACCGCTCTCTTCAACTTCTCGCCGTGGTCGTCGTCGTTCTCTCAATCGTCAGCGCTCGTGATGTTCATGGCGTGCTCTGCCTCTCTCAGACGGGAACGCAGTTGGTGGTCAATCCACCGAAGCGTCCAGGAGCAGAGAGGTGTCTGGGAGAACAAAGTACCACTGTGGCACAAAAAAAGCAGAGATGCACGCTCCCGGAGAGGCAGACGACTTTCTTGATGAAGAGTACTGTGGAACGTACCGGGTGCGCCAACAAAAAATCTTTCCCAGGGCTCCTCCGCGCGCTGGGCAACTTTTCCTGGCGGAAACGCGCCAGGAACATCACGCGAGCACTTTGACATGACAACTTTCCCAACTGCCGTGTTTTATCCGGGCGTGTGAATGCGCCCTTATCCGGTCCTCTTTTATCCGGATACTTCGCCATCCGGAAGAAAATAACTGGTTACAGATTTACAGCACACGTGATGCATCCAACATAACCGGTGTTCGGTTATCTGGTTTCCTCGCCTATCCGGATATTTTCGTGGAAAGCGGATGTGTGCGGTTAAGCCAGGTGTGACTGTGCAGCATTCCACTAGCGCGAGGAAATCTACATGTAACATTACAACGGACACAGTACAAAACCATGCGTAAGATGCCTGGTTGATCCTCTGTATTCGCACTCGCTCTCGAAGTGTCTACAAAGGCACCCACAGCCCACAGCCTTGTGACAGGGTCTCACGTTTGCACCATTGAATTTGCACAATGCTGCATGCGCGCGCATGTGTGTGTGTGTTTGTGTGTGTGTGTGTGTTGAAGTATCTGCGGACGACAGTAAAGCATCGAGGCCGATGGACGATGCAGACATTCAGAGACTGACACTTTGCCCAGCATCATGACATTGTGATAATAGAAGATCACTCATCCGCGTCACTTTGCAAAGCTGTAACATTGTTGTTTAATTTTATGATCGTGCCAAATAAATGAGCCCGTTGTGCTCTCTGCTGTGCTGTGCTCTGCTGTGCTGTGCTCTGCTGTGCTCTGCTGTGCTGTGCTCTGCTCTGCTCTGGTGCAGGGTCATTTCAAGCATGTCATCAGCGAGAGACACGAACACCACCCATGGTACTTTTGAGAATATCTTGGCTGTCATTGTTTAATATTAGCTCCTTTGTCCCCTTGTCCTAGGTATGTCTAGATCTGTGAAAGAGTCCTAGCCTTTCCCTCGCTGTGTAACTATTCAACTAGTCCATTTTTAACTTCTGAATTTTAACCCATGCACTTTCGGTGTGTGTAAAAGAGAATATTCTTGGCGCATCGGATTCGTCAGAAATGTATCCCCTCGCTTTCTCCCTTTCACCGGCTACGTGTCCAGCGTTTCCGCTGTAACTGCTCGTATCGAGTCTGCTATCCATCTCATGCCTTACATTCTCATCTGATATGCGATCCTGTCACGTCGTGGCTTCTATCTCTGCCCAGCTAGGGCCGTGTGAAATGTTCTTGCATGAACCATGGAGACTACGTCTCGGCGGAAAACAATCTCTGCCCTTCCGCTTCACGTTGGTAGGTCGGGCTCCATCTCAATCTTGATTCTTATCTTGCTTGACTCTTCTGTCCTAATCTGCACACGCGCAGTAATTCCTAATTTTTTCATCTGACATGAAACTAACCTATCTAGGTATGGTCACAATGTGCGTGTGTGTCACATTTTAACAGCTAGTCTATAGTCTAGTCTTTAACGTTTTATTCTAGTTCCCACTTCTTTTTCGATTGATCTTGCTCACCCAGTAAAGAGCGCATTGCCTGATGAAGTGTTGAAGGTGTTGAACACTGAACTTAAACCTGCGTTTTCTGACTTGATGAATGGTGAAGTATGGTGTGTGTGGGTGGGTAGGTGTTTTGTGCACACCCAGTGCATTTGCAGATTTGTGTGTTTCTCTTGCCACGGGCACATATACATGGTACTGGATGTGTTTGTGAGTGGGCGTGGGTGTGTTTGCTATCTATCCTATAAGAGTTAGAGAAAGCCGGTGCACCGGTGGGCGTCTAGCGCACTTGAGGCCTTGTCTTCTTTGTCGTCTTCTCTTTCAATGGGTGTACATGACGAGTGTGTGTGTGTGTGTGGGGGGGGGGGGGTGTATGTACGTATACTCAGCACTACACAAGTCTCGTCGAAATACAGAATTATGGGCAAGAATATCTTGTCCAATACAACTGTTTCATTGCACAGCTCTTCCTGTACCATGTACATGTACATGCAATTCGTATACTCTGTCCCCGGGGAAAATTGCGATTCCGCGGCCGCGTTTTTTTCCGCGTTTTTTGCGATTTTTTAAAAGACCGCGTTTTCCGCGATTTTCCCACGTTTTTTGAACTTTTTTGTTGCACTACAAGTACACACAGTGCACTGTTCGGTCAGCAACGTCTCATCGTGGCGGCTTTTTACTCAAATATGACGATTGCTTACACCAGAGACTTGTAACTGATTGATTTCACTACATACTCACTGAAAATTGCCGCACCTTAATATTGTTGAAAGGAAAAGGACATATGGATACGAGTTAAGAGTAACTCTCCATCACTGTAACTGGATACTATCCATATGTCCTTTTCCTTTCCACATTTATTTATGGCTCAACATCCGAGTTTCAAATTAATATTGTTCACCGCATATTTACCGCAAATTCACCGCAAATTATGCCATATTATGCCGCGTTTTTCCCCACGTTTTTTTGCGATTTTTTTCCGCAATTTTCCCCGGGGACAGTATACTGTACGGGCAGAAAATTTCGTCGCTCAATAATTTCGTCCAACTCCGAACACAGGGAGTTCGTCCGGTTGAAAATTTCGCCCATGGATCATAAGAGTGTATTGAAAAGCTGGCCAAATCGACATTAGTCCGGCATTTAAGCTCCTTGGACGAAAAAGACGAAATTAAATTCCAGACGAATATTTCTACTTATGCAGTATCACTTGCCTGGTTTGAGGACTGTCATTGTGATGGTGGATGCATGTTGTGAAACTCTACATTGATTTGACCCTTTGAAAGGCATAGGCTAGCTCTTTTGTCATGCGTTTGAACTGTACTGGCGCCTCTACAATGATATCATGTTTTCGTACTGTAGTACTTTGAGACTGTATTCCGTGCACTGGTTGTGAGCTTAGCATATCACCGCCACTCTCCGCTAGGCACTGTACATGTATCTGCCCCGGCCCTTGGTATAATGAGCAAGGCCTCGTAAACTGGTTTTGTTTCTAAGCACATACACTGCCTGTAAAGTCATTGATGGTGAGGATGTGCGAACTTTGTTATTCTGGTATAATAATAATATTCAGATGGAGAGCCAAGAGCCAAGGTTGTTTAGTAACTGGCGGTGTTAGTGGGCAGTATAGCGTAACTTGTAGTTCCTTGGTCTTTCTCTTTTGTATAAATAATATTAATAATAATACTGTAATTTCACAAATTTTCGGTGTACTTTTATTTTCGGTGCGTCTGTTTCATACCTAAAATTTCAATACACCGAACAAACACTAACCACATAATCCAATAGGGAACTGCTTCTCTGTACCGAAAATTTCTGTTCACCTAACCTAGCCTGTTGCCCTCATACCGAAAATATTGAGCACCGAAAATTTCTGAAATTAGAGTAATAATGACAGTTCGCATATCACTCATTGCGTGAGGTCAACGCATCTGTTGACAATTTCGAGCCAAGCAGCTCTATCGGAAGCAGATTGCACAGCATCCAGAAGCGAGATTCTTTTATACTTCGAAGTGTTATCTGGCTTTGGAAAAGTTTATTTTTCATTGCTATCAGGTTCGGCCTCATTTTCTCTGTGCTGCGCTGGCGAGTCCACAATGACACAAAGCTTAGGACGAAACAGTTCTGTCCGCAGATTGAGTGTTTTAATATCATTACAGGTGGTGTTTGTGTCATTCAGAGACCATCCCCAGGCTAAGTATACACGTCTATGCTGTTTCGTGGTACATATTGAGTCGTAGGGAGAATCACATCTGGCATGGGTAATACGTTTTTGTAATAAATATGTCGATGCATGCAAACACTCTGCAATATGGTTGTCTGTCTCTAAATGACAGTACTGCTGCATACATTACTGTACGGCAGTGTACGCTATTATCAGATTATGATTCCTACTGAACCCCAGGGCTGGCATGCAGACAGCAACGTTGAGAAAGCACGCGTCATGGCCGATGCAGTGATGGGTGGATGACTGGATGTTAGCCGATGGGTGGATGTTAAAGGGAAACTGAACGCCAAAAATAAGTATGGCTTATCCGAAGGAGAATTGGGCACTGATTCCGATGAGCTATGTCTCGAGCCGATCAGAGAAGAGGAACTGTGTCAAATTTCATAAATAACACCTCCCATATTTGGAAATTGGCCTTGATGACGTGCGTACTGCTTAGCTGTCACCATGCTGTGCATGTTCAGCAGTGTAATTGAATGGAAGAAAACAATTACTTTGGTGTTTTGCAGCTCTGTTTCGTTCCCTGACGGTAACCAAATCTAGATGTAGGAATCTGTTGAGCAGGAGAGTGACACAATGTCTTCCCGAAGGCTGTCCAGGCTGCAGTGGTGATGAAGAAGACACGATCATCACCCCGAGATCGATCGTAGCGAATTGGAAAACTCATGGTGAATTTGCTTCCACTCCAAGGCAATGTCGAGGTATGAAGGGTGCTTGTACTGCCTTCCAAAGTGAAGAGGAGATGAACATGGCTTTGCATAGCTGTTGTTCTATGCCAACTTACCTACTCTTGCTGGTACCGTAGTGGCATATTGCAAATTTCGTGGACGAACAACTCTAGTCACTAGTGGCTAGTGAGCAACACTAACAGGTGAGATTTTTCAATTCGACAAAAATTGTTTTTGTTTGAGAACTGACAGTGGCAGTCATTAGACTCAGTAGGTGTCTTTGCTGCTTCTTTCCCTTCATTGGTAGAGTTGTGCTTGAATAATACAAGTGCTTGAAGTAAAATAAAATAAATAGAACATGTGGAACATAAATCTAATCAAGCATCAGTACATGTATTGCGAAGTTCAACTTCAAAGCACATGAAATCGTGACAATGATCACGAAGTTTATGTAATCAAGAGTACACCCTGTGTTCAACGAACACATACACACATGCTGTATTGCGCACACACATGTACACATGTGCGTGCACCTCCATCCCATCCCACAGACACACGCATGCAGCGCGCACATCCATACACATGTGCGTGTACCCCCCCCCCCCCCACACACACACATTCCTACCCATACACATGTGCATCCCCCCCCCCCCCACACACACGTGTGCACATACAGATACACAAACACACACGCACGAACACACACATAAGATACGTGTAAGTGTACATGGTCTTCCTGGTGCAGATGCTGAGCCAGCACAATAGAAAATACCTCCATCAAGATGCTTGATCAAGTGTTGTGATAATGGCACTGTTTGTTTGTTTTTACAAAGAATTGTGGGAAAGATTACAATGCATTATAATTCATAATTGTTCTTTGCCTTGTACTGTGCAGACCAGAATGCTTCGTTATCAACTCCTGGCTTTCCATCGGCATGGTGTTCAGCTGCAGCGGCATCTGGTCCGGGGAGTTCAAGTTGCTGGATGGCTGCACTGACACAGGATGGGTTTGCGTTGGCAATGCGATACGGCAGTCATCCCACATCACGAGCTACATGTTTATGTAATTTATATTGTCGCTTGTCCAGCAACGTCAAGGCTCTGCATGTAAACACAGGAGAACACCATAATACTACTCAGGGGATAATAATTTTGGATATCAATTTCGTGACAATTATTAGATTCACACAATATTCACAACGTATGCAACACGATGCTGTCTATTGACACTACTTCAAACTGAAGTGCTCACTACTCCTCTCCCGTTTTTATCTCCCTCTACCTTATGAATACTCTGCATTACTGGTTTCGTTTCTACCCTTTCCATTGCTGCCAGCTCCCGGTCTTTTTCAATGCACAGCACCACCTTGACAGTCATTTTTGTGATTTGATGTACACATACTTTGATGTTCAAATTCGAATTACATGATCAGATTTTTGTTCCACATTTTCTATTTATTTTTACTTCAAGCACAACCCTACCGATGAAGGGAAAGAAGCAGCAAAGACACCTACTGAGTCTAATGACTGCCACTGTCAGTTCTCAAACAAAAACAATTTTTGTCGAATTGAAAAATCTCACCTGTTAGTGTTGCTCACTAGCCACTAGTGACTAGAGTTGTTCGTCCACGAAATTTGCAATATGCCACTACGGTACCAGCAAGAGTAGGTAAGTTGGCATAGAACAACAGCTATGCAAAGCCATGTTCATCTCCTCTTCACTTTGGAAGGCAGTACAAGCACCCTTCATACCTCGACATTGCCTTGGAGTGGAAGCAAATTCACCATGAGTTTTCCAATTCGCTACGATCGATCTCGGGGTGATGATCGTGTCTTCTTCATCACCACTGCAGCCTGGACAGCCTTCGGGAAGACATGTGTCACTCTCCTGCTCAACAGATTCCTACATCTAGATTTGGTTACCGTCAGGGAACGAAACAGAGCTGCAAAACACCAAAGTAATTGTTTTCTTCCATTCAATTACACTGCTGAACATGCACAGCATGGTGACAGCTAAGCAGTACGCACGTCATCAAGGCCAATTTCCAAATATGGGAGGTGTTATTTATGAAATTTGACACAGTTCCTCTTCTCTGATCGGCTCGAGACATAGCTCATCGGAATCAGTGCCCAATTCTCCTTCGGATAAGCCATACTTATTTTTGGCGTTCAGTTTCCCTTTAACCCCTTCGCCAGCCCAGCTAGCAGGACTTGCCAAACGGGTTATCATGGTTATGCCTGCGGCGAGACTGCTCCGTGGTGAACCAGCGGTAAAGCAGCAACAGAGTGAGCATGCTGAATACATGTACAAGTCAATAGGGCGAGCACTCGGCCGCACAGCATCCAGGTAGACTGTGGCAGATCTTGCGTGTATGGTGCATGACTGGCGTCCTTTCAAGTAGTTTGCTGAGACCCCATGCAGCAGTATGCTGGATGACTGTACTACTGTGCCACTTGAGATAGATATATACCATAATTTCAAGCCTAGACTGTGACCTTCTAGTTTACATGGTTTATGAACAGACCAAAATCCCCCATGTGAGTAACATGTGAGTGATAACAGCCATAGTGCTTTGGCATGGCAGGGCAGCAAACCTGCCAATTATTTCTTTTTCTCTCTTTTTTTTATTGCAAATGCATACTGAGTAGTAAGCGGTTAAAGCTGTGTTCACAACTGGCGCGTGTACGCGTGAAACCACGCGTTTGTGCGTATTTTTGCTGGCTTTTGGGGCGTCATGCGTATGGATACGCGCCGAAATGGAAATTCCAGCAAGTTGGAATTTTCAGCGCGTATCAGGCGCGTACCAGCTTACATGCCAGTCACTTTGACTGGCGGGGTCCAAAAATTAGTACTCGAAGGTGTCGCACGTGCTGAATACGAATCGGATTGCTGTTTTTTGTGAAAGCTTGAGCGCGCGTATGGGCGCGCATGAACCGCAAGCGTACCGCGTCAACGCGCCAGTTGTGAACACAGCTTTAGCGTGAACTCGAGTCCTAAGTAAAGCCTCGCCAGTTCAGCCTAAGAAAACTCTGCCTGTTGAGCGGGTGGCCAGCAATGGCAGCCTGTGTGGACAGAGGAAGACCTCTAGAATGCTGTGTGCATTTTTACCGTGATGATGTTAGAAGATGAGAAACACCAGCCATTCCCAGCATTCCCGTTGCTTTCAACTCAGTGTCAAGCCTCGCACCGTACACCGAGTTGGCTGCTGCTCGCATTTCAAAAAACGCAATTCAATTCACTCACAATCTGCACCGGCGGTGAGCTGTGTGTTATCGACGGGAAACGTATTCAGCCAGCTGCCCTCAGCCTGTGCAGATCGCTTTGGGGCCATTGCACCATTTCCATTCTTCAGAGAAGAGTTTACAATTCAGTGCAGCACGATGGGCTGGTGCATGGTATACACTGAGCAGCACACTCAGCCTCATGTTACCATGGTTACGGGCTGTCAAACCATAAAAATTCACAGCGTGGAAAATGAAGGATAACATGGTCAAGCAGTAGATAAAAATGGAGGTGAAAATAGAACTGGATTGGGACGGGTTGAGAACATGCAATTTGCCTCGGTGACATGGCAACTTAGCGGCAATGGAATGCATGCAAGTCTGGGTGTGGACACACACACTCTCATAAATACATTATACAAGTAACAATATACATGCATGCATACGCATGCACACACACACACACACACACACACACACACACACACAGTGTGTGTTCCACACATAATTTAATGCTCTCTCTCTCTCTCCCTCTCTCACAAAAAAAAAAAAAAAAAAACACACACACACACACACACACACACCTCAGACCTCAGACATGCCCATCGCGGAAGCGATGATAGCGAACAGCTATGTTAGACATAGCAACTTGTGCTGGGATTACACCACACACACACACACACACACACACACACACACACGTGCGTGCACGCACACACACACACTCTCTCTCTCTCTCTCTCTCACACACACACACACACACACACCTGCAGGCACACATGTGCTTGTTCAATCGAGGTTCAGATGGATGGCAGGCCAGTGCTTGTGGCTAGCTCTACCCCATACAGATTCAAACCTCGATTTGCACAATCCACACCTGGCATGGTCTTGGAATCACTAAAACTTGTATAAATTATTGGAACCGTCAGCATCTCTGTTACATTGCTGGCTGGTTCCCTAGTCTACACCATGACGACCCGTGGGCATCATAGATCAACACCAGGTGGCATCTAATTTTCGTCCTCTAGCCGGCAACTCAACATGGGCTTGTCAGCAGTGGCGCTTTCAGCAGAGGCATCCCCATCCACCGACTCCTCGATCGTGTTCAGCTGCGCAGAAGTGGCAGCAGCAGCTGGAGGCGGCAATAGACACGTCCCGCCGGGACCAGGAATACACATCATGTCTGGTGCTGACTGATGGCGGGTCATGCGCGGCGAGTCACAAGCACTCTCAGGGCTCTCCGGTCGGCGCAAGCTACCCGTTCGGAGCGGGCCACCTGCCATCGCCGTCGCCCAGGAATCGGGGACATCTTCAGGTGCGCTTGCCTCGGCCGCCGTTCTCTTGGAACCTGCCTGATGCCGCAGTGCCTGTGGTGACCTCGGTGAACATTCACGCTGTGTGGCTGGGTCTCGGTACACTTGCCTGAGGCTGCGGGCCGGGCGGCAATTCATTGATACATCATTCTGGGAGACGCGGCGATCCCGATAACTAACTTTCAACCCCGTAATGGCAGCTTCCAGGTCGTCTAAGCGACTCTGGGTTTCTGCCTGTTGTTGCTCGAGAGTATGCTGTGCGAGAGCAGAACAAGACAATACACACACACACACACACACAATCAGCACATCACTCATCAGGGGCGGATCCAGGAGGGGTTCCAGGAGTTCCGCGGAACCCCCTAAATTTCGTAAATGTACTACTGGCACCCATATGCGTGTTCATGTACATGTATCAGATATTCAGTTTTGACTATACTGGAACCCCCATGTAGAGATCGCTGGATCAGTCGCTGCACATGGACACTGTGAAACGGTGGTGCCATACATGTATACCCGAGGCAGGTCATCATTAGCCCTTGTTGGATAATACCGCAGAGCTATTGGTAGAATTTGGCACTTTTTCTGGTATATTTCATCATGCGGCATGTTTGATACATGGACGAAGAAGAAGATCAGAATTCTAGTAATTGCCCGCCATAAGCTTGGTATGGTTCCACCAATTATTATTTCACTGTTCTTCGATAAATGCAACTATCCACGACTGTAACAACTTGGGATAATAAGTAGTCAGAAAGTGCGATAACAGAGCACAAAACTGACTGCTACTGAGACATTTGAATGTCTCAGTAACAGTCAGTTCAAGTTGTGCCCTGTTATCACACTTCCTAACTGCGCATTATCTTGTTACAGTCGTGGATAGTTGTTTCATAACTCGTTTCCATGTGATTTCTTCTATTTTAATTGTATGCATTGCCTCAGTATCCGGGCCACTACAAAATGTCTTCCTTTCTTTCCCGTTTGCATCTTTCCCCCAAACAATAAATAATTATTCATTTTGGTTTCGAAAAGGGGAAAGATCAGAAGAAAAGATTGACTGTCACCACCGGAACTCACGCCAGCCACCTTCCCTTTACTTTAGGCTACTGTGTAAGTACAAATTTTCGTTTGGAAATTAACTTTCGCTATACTGTACTCAGTAGACATGGTTAGCATTTTCCCGTTCACGCTATTTCGACGGTCGGCGTGTAGAGGGCGAGTCTACTGTTTTTGATGTGTTTTCGAGACACGGTTAGCATGGTTAGCAGTTCGGCTCTCCGAGTCCCGACTCCAGACGCAACGATAGACGTGTGAGGTAACCCTAGTTGGAATCTTACCGTTTCGTTATCCCGCTAAAAAGAGCTTTCTATCGTCGAAACGGTACCAAACCGACGGTATTTTTGGGTTTGGGGTAAGAGTACCGTTGGATCTAGCGCGTGAACAAAAAACGGTGCAGGCCTACCGCCGAAAATAGCGTGAACGGTAAAATGCTAACCATGTCTAGTATTCGTTAGGGGGCACGAAATAACTAAAGTTTGTACGAGTACCAAACTAAAGTTTTTATTCTGAACGTTCGGGGTGACAGACCTCGACCAAAAACGAAGTTTAGTGCATAACAAGCCTGCTGCCAGTGCTGGTGGAGTGATCAAACGAAAGATGTCGTGAACGAAACATTTGTACTTATAGTTATACAGTAGTTTAGACCAGCAACGCTCTAACTGCCTATGGAGCTATGAATGATGTACTGAAGTAGCTGTCATCCCACCAGAGACCGTTCAACACCCTCCTCAGACTTCAAAGCTCACACTGAACATACTGGTGGGACGCAGCCCTCACTGTCCCCACACACTTCAAGCTCAAACTACTAGTGTACATGTATGATTGTACAGAAGAACACAGGGAGTCCCAATTATCATACGGTATCAAAATAATTCTAATTTAGCAACAAGGAGAACTAGATTCGCTGAAAGCACTCCCTATAAACTAGTCCTCCTTTTTTGATGATAAGTAGAAGCATAGTCATTGTAGGTTTGCAGTGTACTCACTGATCAGCTCAGTGCAGCTCATGTCTGCTGCATGCCTAGTAGATCTACAAGTACCAAGACCCAAAAAGCAAGAGTACAATAACCCCTGAACCCCTGAACTCTTGCTAGCTAGTACAGTAGACCTACACGTAGTCCGCAAGGAGGTTAGGTATGATTTGTCATAAGGCCACCCTTTGTTAATTCATTGTTTAACGTCCTTTTTTTCGCGAAAAGGTACGCGGGAGGGCGGAAAAAAAACAAAAGCCCATTCCAAAAACTGGAAACCCCAATCAAACATTTTGACCAGTAAAGCATGTGATATATACAATATTTCTGGGTCTAACGGCACTTGCAGGCATAGAACAACACTCTTTGATGGTACATTGGAGCACATGCCTGATGAATCCAACAAAACAGGTACATAGCATGGAGTTAGCATGTCATGCATTCATTACATCAGCATACTAGTTATACCAGATCTTGGTCAAGTTTTCGCTGCCTATTCGCTCTGGCTGGCCCTGCCTCTATCAGTAAAATCAAGAGTACATGGTTTATGTACTCTTGGTAAAACATCTTGTACACTAAAGGATTTAAAAAAAGTTCAACATGAAGCTTGAGTTCTAGCAATAACTGCTAATTCTTCATTCAGATTTGTTTCTCTTTGCCTCGCCCTGTGTAGCCTGTAGGTTATTCACGTATTGCCTCTTTGTTTTATTTTGTCATTTGGCATTGTTTTTGCTTACTGCCATGGCTGGTTATCGCCCCCCCCCCACACACACACATAGTGGCCTACCACGACTACCGGTATGTTCCCTGGCCACGGCCTGTGACAGGGAGGGTGAAATAAATACAGCACTCAACCAAGTACACGCACAAGTAGTGTGCAGGCAGTAGTGGAGCAGAGTGCCATGGTTCAATGATCCAGAACATAGTAATAATACTTAGCTCTAACAGCAACGGGCTCTATTCTCTACCTCAGGGGGGGAGGGGGGCGGCACCCACACACACCACCGCTCAACAGGTGTGTAGGAGGGACTGTGTCTAGTCTAGGAAGGTCGCATCCACTGTCACATGTATTATGCAAGCAGCAGCTATCATGCAAGCTTGAAGCTACCTCTAGCCTAGGTCTCTAGTAGTGGTACTACTAGTCTAGGCACTACTCACTCTATCTGGTGGAAACAGTCATGGCAAGTACTGCTACAGGCGGCTACAGCCTTACCAGTCATGTCAGACCAAGGCCACCAATGCTCAAACTCTTTATCTCTGTCTAAACTCACTGTCTAAACTACAACCAGCACACCAGCATGCTTTTGTGTCCTACCTTGCACTTGACTCAAGCTAAAAATTAATGTTGACATTCAGCGCACCGGCGACGAGACAGCTATGGATCATGTCATGCCATGATGATACAAAGACGTTACGGTTAGGCATGCTACAACACATGCGATACTACAAGTGTAAATTAATTGTCAATACTCACACAGCGCTGCGATGCCAATGGCACAACCAAGTCCTTCTTTGCTGTTGCTCGAAACTCTGCCTGACACTAGTACAATGTAACAGCAAAGCCGGACTTGGCTCAATACTAAGTGTGCGAGTATTTTACTGCTGCCTGCCCTGTCCGCCGGCCATCGCACACAGCAGGAGCATGATGTAACTGTTACTTGTAAAGTTGTTAGAATGTCATTATTATGACACCTAGTACCTAGTACCTGTCTACAATAATGTAGTGGTATTTAGTATAAAAGAAAGAAATAATTGTGTGTTGCTGCCTAGGTTCGAGATTGCGCTATTCCTCTCGACTTGAGTTGACACTTGACTCAATGACTGATTCAAGTCAGCGGCGGAAAGCGCAAGAAGCCATCCAGGGAGCAACACACAGTTACTCAATTATCGCCATGCCTCTTATTTTTCTAGTACATGTACATTGTAAAAACTACAATTTTAAAAATAAAAGTATTGCCAACAGAGAGACAGTCATGTACATACACGTCACTTACGATTCCCGCCATGAGCGCGCTAATCCCACCGCCAGCCATGTTGTCGGGGTTGCCTTGACCACCTGAATCCAAGCCTGAATCCATGGCTAAAAAACTAAAAGGCGAGGTTGGCGAAGGCGGTGGACCCGGCGGATATTCAGCCTTGATCTCATACTCATAGTCACAAGGGAAAGGACTATACCGAGCTTGAGTACTGCTGAGCTTGCTGGGTGAGCTGGACTGCTCAGCCTCAAGGAAACTTCGTTCATCTTGAACAAGTAAGCAAGAACAACTCACCGATTCATTTTCTAAGGCGCATTGAATGGGACTTCTGCTGGGACTTCTGCTGCAACAGCTCGTCCCAGATGAAGCTTGAGCCGTCGGTGGAGTCTTCTCTCGCGCGACAGCCATTGCCACGGGTGTTATGCTGGTATCGCTACCGGTAGCAGAAGACAGACATGCACCTCGGTGGAAACGCGGGCAGTGCAAAGACGTGCTTTGAGTTTGGTGGTCTCTTGTGCATTGTAAATATACAGGTGCAGGTGAGGTGGAGCTGTGCGCGTCAGCGGAAAGAACCATGCCGGCTGATGTCTTCGGCTAGCGCCCACAATGCTGCAGTGTGTACAGTAGGCTTCCTGAAGTTGCGAGCAAGCTGCGCTGCGCGCGTCGACTCTCGTCGCACTAAGCACCGAGAAGAGTGTTGCCTTTATAAGCACGGAGTCCTGGCCTACTACCACGCTAATGACGTTCTGAAGGGTGAACTGGAACCACCATTGGAGCCACCTTAATAATGGCCCTTGGACTGAGTGTGCAAGAACTAGTTTCTTCAGAAAAACTCAAACTCTTTGAAAGCCCGCAGCTGGTTGCAACTGGCGTGTTTCAGTTCGAAGCCGCTTCGTGACAGGAGTCTCCCTCTGAACACTACTGGTATTGAATACTTCAGTCTGCGTTTGTGTCCTCCTGCTCGCAACTGAAAAAGCCTGAGCTGTAGGCGGTGTAGAAGACCTGCTGAGCTGAGAGGGCGGTTGACTTGGCAGGATAGACTACTGAGGAAAATGATGAGGCACGCACGCAGCGTAGTCTCCTGTATCGCGCGCAGATTCGTCACGGGCAGTTAGACATGTTGAGCTGAGAGGGCGGTTTACGTGGCAGGATAGACTAAGTAGATCTACTGAGGAAAATAATGAGGCACGCAGCGTAGCCTCCTGTATCGCAGATTCGTCACGGGCAGTTAGATTCTAGGTATTTACTAGCTTATCTACCGAGCAGTGGACAAGAGGCGCTAGGCGCTCGGCATTCCCCGCCTGAAATACATGCTCGTAGCTGTCAAGAGCAGGACAACTCGCAGCACCCTGGCATGCCTGGAAGGACTCCCTAGCGATGTCCTGACTCACTCCATCCACCAGCAGTCAGCACCCATCGCATCACGAGCAAGGGAAACACAACGGTTACGTGCATAGCAAAGCTAGCTGTCAGAAGAAGAGCACGGGGCGCCGGGCCTAGGCTGCAGCACAAGACTTTGAGGTCACTAGACTCTCTAGTCACTAGTCACTACATAGATGTACGAGGTGGATCCACATTGTTATTGTGCATGCTTGTCGTACTCAGTCACTACTAAAATTTAATAGTACTAATACATGTACAGTAATAGTAGCTGTTTCGAGTCTTTCGACTGATTGCGTCAAAGTTTCTTCGAGACCTTTATATTTATAACATACTTGAAGTAATTATTTGAAGGTCTCATCCACGGTGCTCAGTGTGCCCGAATCATTGACTTTATGCATACTATTTTAATGCATATTGACTGTACATGTATTACGGTCTGCATGTTGCACAGGTACACTGTATTGTACTGTTGTGGACATGGAAATCCGGTCGCACGTCTAGCGGGCCCAGGGTGCACGGTGCTGGCAGCCGTGGATAAGCGGTACACGCATGCATTTTATGCGCTGCAGCGCGCTAGCGCTAGTCGCATCGGATCGGATCACCATGTGCCCTGCACGCATCGTTCTGTACGCGCTGAGGGCGCCGGCCCTGGTCAATTGACCGGATTTCCATGTCCACGACAGTATTACTACCTGTCTTGTGCACTTGCACATCCGCGCACTCGCTAGCAGGTGGCACCGTGTGAACACCGGACCAGCAAGCACTGTCTGGCAAGATGGTGCAAGTCTGTCACATGCCAGCATGCTGTCAACAGTTTTACATACATGGTCAAACCGAGCCTACTCACCCTAGCCACGCACTGGCACGGTGTCGGTATGCTGATTATGCAGCGAATATTTCTAGAAATATGCACATTCTACTTCCATATCGACCTATACAATCATGTACATATACATGACATGACATGTATTATGTCTGTGTATGAGGCGAGAACAGGGATTTCGGAGATTACAGACTACTGTACTCAGTACTGTATAGTGTACTTCAGAGTTCAGTTTCAGGGTGGGGTTCTATGTTTACTTACTAGTACTGTAGTACTACACAGTACACTAGTCGACTAGTCTACAGTCTACAGTCTACATGTACTCACCGCCACAGCACAGATTCAGTAGTGTCAGTACTTCACACTGGCAGGCGCTAGGCAGGCTGCAGCGCAGATGCGCGAGTGACCATGATGACAGCGATAGGAGATCCCCCTGGTGAGCTGATATCACGATAGGCGTTAGCCTTTTACGGGAAACGAAGAGTATTCACGCTACCACTGGCACTGAAATCATAATAAAATATGTTTATTGAAGTCAAGAGCAAGTAAGTCCGGACCTCACCTACTTGCATGCGTCTATCGACAGCCAAATGAGCCAGTCGCCAACTGGACTCGGATAGAGCTAGAGCAAGAGCTTGAGCGGGCGTCCCAAGTGACACCGTCGATGACCCTACTGGGTGACTTCAACGCAAATGTATGCCAAGGTAGTCATCAGGTGCGCCACTTGCTTGATCTCTGCGACGTATATGGCCCGAAAAATCACGTTATCTCCCCAACACGTGTCACACCAGAGCATCCCCATGGGAACTGTGATCGACCCACCAACGTCTAGTCTCCGCTTGCAGTGTTATTCCCTGTGACATCAGCGACCATTTCCTGGTGAGAGGCTGAGAGCGCATCTCCATCTCCTCACTGCGCAAACTACTAGTCGTGCACTTCGCATCACTCGCCATCTACTACTAGTAGTACCCCGGATGGACTTCGAGTCTTTTCGGCATGACCTCATCGCAGCCAACTATGTTACTTGTAATTGTATGCATTTGCACCTGGATCCGACGTACACCAAATGTGGCACCAGTGGCATGGATGGTTCATGGACGTGCTGGACAGGCGCTAGGCATGCTCCGCAGATTCCTACAAGTCAGAGGAAACGGCCATCAAACCCGCCCTGGTCGGATAGAGACTTGTTCCAGCTAAATCAGCGGAAAATCCGACTCCACAAGAAATGGCTCGCGAACAAAGGGGACTGGGCGGCACATCAGGACTTCAAGCGAGCCAGATCTGCATGCTGAAATGCGTACCGCAGAAAACGCAATGAGTACTTCCGCACCCAGTGCAGTGAGAATAACTCTAATTCTCGTCAAATGTGGTAGGTTATCAATCAGGTCACAGGACGAAGCCGTCAACACCAGGAGCCCGCATGCCCTAGTAACCACCGCGTTCCACAAGGTTATCACGGACACCAACCGGCCGCAAAGTCTCCAGATACCAAGCGGACCACCACCACAGCAATGCCTCATCTCCTTCCCGCTGGCTACTGTCAGGGAAGTTGAGCGGTTACTACGATCAATCAACACGACCAAGGCCACAGGAAGTGACGACATACCCGGTTTTTATACTGAAACATAGCGCTGATATCCTTGCCCCTTCACTGGTCACACTGTTTAATGCGTCCCTGTCCAGCGCCGACCAGCGGGGAAGTGCCCAGAGATTTCAAGCTATCAAGACGCTCTCGTCAGGTTTATGTGAAGGCGGTCATAATGCCCGACCTGCTTTATGGCTCCTGCTGCTTTTCAGCCGCAATGCGAGAGGGTCAACTGAAACGACTGCAAACCGCGCAAAACAGAGCCATCCGCTGTATCGATGGCAACCCGCCCCGGACAGCCATGCAGCCGCTGCTCACTGCTCACTCCCTGTACCGTGTCAGCGAGCTCTACAGGCAGAAAATATTGATCACCATCTGGCGGTGCATCCACGCCCGCACCAGCCCTGTGCTCGTCCAGCTTCTGACCCCGGCACAAGGCACCCCTAGGGCCCTAGCCTAGGCCCTAGGCCCCTATCCGCCATCAGCAGTCAACATGGTCTACTACAGTCAAATCTGTCGTAAGCGACCGCCCCTTGGTGCAAGAAAAAGCGGTCTCTTACGGCAGATGGTCTCTTACGGCAGATGTATGGTAAGTCCGGCATACCGGGCATGCACATAATTATGCTTCCATGTACGCAAATCGACGAGAATAATGCGATTTTTCATATCATTTTATTGGATATTGGGGCGCACTTGGAAGACAGCGCATTTTCACACCTTGCATGCAGTTGACAGCACACTGGCAAGTACAGTTTCGCACCTGACTGAACGACTTATGTGGGCTGCGGTCGCTTACAGCAGATTTGAATGCAGCCACCGTGCATGAAATCGCGGTCGCTGGTCGCGCACAGCAGATGGTCGCTCTGGACAGATCAATTTGTATGTGAAACCGTCGGTGAACGGAAAATCGGTCGCCAACGGTAGATGGTCGCCTACAGCAGAGGTCGCTAACGGCAGATTTGACTGTAGTACTAAGCCAGGCTAACCGTAGCCGCCGCTGCGGTCAGCGGAGATTTGCTGTTGCTGGTGCTCTGCTAGCATCATGCTGTGGAACGCTCTCACTGGTGAGGTCCACACAATTACCCTGCTACCTGAGTTTAAGCATGCATGTGTACCATATGATGCCTGTAGGGAGTAGTTCGAGTTGCTGCTGATCGCTCTGCTCTCCCTCCCCGTGCAGTTCAGTAATCCTCACGTAGTATCACAGATACATGTACATCGTATTCTCTCTCTCCCCTCGTTTACTCGCAGTTATTAGTATCCTATTCTCTATCTACATGTATGTGCTTCCAAAAAACACATTCCGCCACAGACAACACGAGAAGGACACCCGCCTATCGCAGTACGTCTGGACCAAAAAGGATGAAGGGAAGGCATGCAGCATTCAATGGGCGGTACACCGCAGAGCAGCGGCCTACAGCAACAAAAGCAAAAGGTGCAACCTGTGCCTGGCGGAAAAATTGGCAATCGCGCAAGCACCCAAGCACCTCTCTCTAAACAAAAGGAGTGAGCTTGTGTCGAAGTGTCGCCATGAGAATAGGTACTACCTTCGGAACTTTAAACCAGCTACAGCCATCACCTAATTGAGTAAGAGACAACCAGCTCCAGTGGTTGTCACCTTTCACCACTTGCTGTCATTCACGCTTTGCACTGCCGCTATTTACACTTTGCTTTGTGAGGATATAAACCAATACTGATCCAGATTTCCAATTACTGTTTTCTGATGATCGCTTAGTGCGTGAAACTCTGAGTAAAAACACTTCCTCTGTCCTCCTATTGTTTGTATGTGCTTCCATAGCTTTTACTATGTTCTTCCATAGCCACTTCTAGGCTAAGCCTTCGCCGTCATTTTATTGGGTCGTCATCCCGTTTGAATGTGCGAAGTGAAATAAAAACCAACCAAACCAACAAGCTAGCCCACGTCACACCCCTGTTCAAGGCCGGAGACCCATCCGTGCCCACAAACTACCACCCTATGTCGCTGTTACCCGTGATCTCTAAGCTACTCGAAAAGCTGGTGCAGAAAGCCATCAACCAGTATGTACTATCATCCGGGTTATATGGCGCGGCTGCATACTATGGCCTCACAACGAACAGTGGAAAACGACTGCTGGAGACAGCTTACAACCAGTGCCTCCGCGTCGCTACAGGATGTGTGCCTTCTACACCACTGACCAAGCTCTACGAGGTTGCAGGTGCTCCGTCCCTGCATACAAAGATCACACGCCAGGCTGGGAATTTGGCCAATATTGCTCTTCGTCACAGCACCCCAACCCCTGCTCGCACCGTTCTCTCCGCTCGGGTTCCTCAACGCATACGCCAGGACAAGACCACTTGGCAACAGTTAGCCCAGGAGACTTTGCCTACTCAGCAATTTCTCCCGCTGCCTTCGCGACCACCGCCATGGGCAAAGGTGGAGAACTTGACGATCCACATCACTGACTGCAGCAGAGATGATCCCCCGCATGTCCGGTTGTCTGCAGCCCTGGAGTGCCTGGACAAGGTTTCCTCTCTTTGTGCTCAATCTCAGTCATATGAAGTCTGGACAGATGGTAGTGTCACTGATGAGGGTACAGGAGGAAGTGGCTATCTTGTCATCAAAGTCACTGATGGCCAACGCTCTGAAGTGTGCAGTGGAAGCGATCCTGCAGGCGTGGTAGCAACTTCCTTCACCGCCGAGGTAACTGCAGCAGTGGCTGGTCTCTCTGCGGCAGAAGATCTACTTACGGCTGGCCTCACCAACACAGATGGTCAACCCTCGCTGCCAGACCTCATCCTCGTTACGGACAGTCGTTCGTTGACTGATTCTGTTGCCGGCGATCCGTACCGTATGAGCCCAGATACGATTCCTGTGTTTGAGGCTATCAAGAGCATTAGCCAGCTTGTTACCAGCATCCACCTTGTCTGGGTTAGCAGTCACTGTGGCTTATTCCTCAATGACAAAGTAGATCGCCTGGCTGCGGCTGGTACCCAGGTTCCCCAGGGTCACGTCCGTCTTCCAGTGCAAGCCACCAAGACTGCAGTCCGCAAGGCAACACGGTACCCACCACCATTGCTCGACACCAAGAAGCTCGGTGACCTTCGGACACGGAAAGCGTCCTGCAAGCTGAACCAGCTGATGACCGGCCACTGTAGTCTTCTGAATGGCTACCTCCACCGCATTGGAGCTGCACACTCGCCTCACTGTGTCTTCTGCCCTGGCGTCGTCGAGGATGCAATGCACTTCCTTTTCGACTGCCCAGGAAGAGCACAAAGCCGCCACTCTGCAGCTCTTCAGTCGTCTTCATCCGTCAGTCAAGCTGTAGCCGAGTCTCCCTACAATATTGCACGATTCTTGCAGTTGGAGAAACTGCTATGAAGTTTCGAACACAGTCTTGAAACACGATACATGATGAATTGCTGCTATTATTATGAGAACTCTCATTACACTGGTATGCGGTATTACCTTCCACATAGTCATTAGTCTAGCATGGCGTCATATATTTGTCTCAATTCAGTGTTTTCCGAAGAATAATAAAAAAAATAAAAAGCCCTCGTTGACTTCGTCGACCCAGCTCTCCCTAACACCCAGTTTGCATTCCGCCCTGGACACTCGATCGAAGATGCGCTGGCACTGCTCTCGGACACCGTCCTCCAAGCCCGAGACAATAGTTCTGTTGTAGCAACATGCCTGTTAGATATGAGTAAAGCCTTTGACAAGGTGAAGCATGCCACCCTCGTCCAAGACTTGTTCAGCATCCCTGAAATGGTTTCGGGACTATCTGTCTGGGCGCCATCAACGCGTTCTTATGGGCTCCCAACTCGGCAGAACTGTACCGTGCACTTGTGGTGCGCCGCAGGGCTCTGTACTAGGACCCATGCTGTTCTCCATATACACCAGAGATGTCCCCTCTGAATCTGCGCCGGCATCATCACTGCAGTTTGCGGATGACATCGCCCTGACATGTACAAGACGGACAGCGCAAGAGGTGTCTGATGCGCTCAGCTTGCCGGTTACCTCCCTCTCAAGTTTGCTGGACGCTCGTGGTCTTGTATTAAATGCAAAGGAGAGCAATGTATTGGTTTTTACCAGCAGCAGTGGGCAGCAGCCGGACATGGTTGTACGCTGTCGAAATGATGTCCTTCCGCACACCACCAGTGCGAAATACCTCGGCATCTTGATCGATAAACGAATGGCCTGGCAACCGCAAGTTGACCGGTGCATCTCACGCACTGCTAGGAAGATAGTCTGTGGTAGTCTGTGGCGGGCGTGACGCTGCCTCACTCTAGCTAGTCGAAGCAAGTACACGTGTACTTCCTATCTGCCATCATGCCGGATTTGATATATGGATCGTCAGCATATGGCTCCGGCTTGACCCACAACCAGCTAAACCGCTTGCAGGTGGCCCAAAACCGCGCAGCAAGGGCGGTGTTCGGACGACAACGATTTACCAGGGCCAGTGACCTCTTGGAGAGGCTCTCTGTTATCGCGTGGACGAGGTATATCGCCAGAAACTGCTCGTGATGGTATGGCGGTGGGTTCATAACCGTGCCAGTCCTGCTCTGCAGGCACTGTTTGGTCGCAACTGCGGAGCAACTCGCCTTCAGCGCAGTCTGGGCCTGCAACAACCAATAGCCAGAAGCCGAGCAGGCCAATGCCGACCGGCATCTCGCGGTTGCCTGTTATGGAACCATATACCTGACACGGTGCGAGCCATGGGCAACATCTCAGCATTCCGCCGAGCTGCCATTCCCTACACGTTGTAGACTGCTACACAGTTGGTCATACCATGGTATTCAGTACCCACGAACTTTGCACAGCCGATAATGTGATAATGTACCGTGGTGCATGCACCGATGGTACCACCACTTCGTAGACTGCCTCCCGTTCATTTCTGTGCTCCTGCCTTTATTCTCGTCAGCTGTGTACTTCAGCAGTTCAATTCTGTGCTCCAGTCCTCTTTATTCTCGTGAGCTGTGTACTTGTTTTGCTGTTTGTTTGGTGTATTTGAATTCGCACAGTAACCGTGTACTTCAGCTATTCTCTCCTCCCTCTTCTGAATTTCACTCTCCGCTGGCCTTATCTCCTCCCATCCCCTTACATTGTATTGGGCCTCCGCAGCTCCCCCCCCCCCCTCCCACCACCACCACCACCCCACGCACACACTACATAATAATAGTCATTGTCACATAGCACAACTCAACCATTCGCTACCCTGTTATTGAGCACTCCTGCTCGATTGGTCTCGCGAATCCAAATAAAATCAATCAATCAATCAATCACCTAGCCTGGTAGTACATGTACATGTATGTGCAAAACAAGAACATGGACTGATAATTATAATGATGGAGCCATGACTCGGAAATGACGAAGTCGCGGACTGATTTCATTCACACCTCACTGCACTGACTGGCGCTGGGCTTGGATGTCTTTTTGCGGTCTCTTCCTGTCAACGTATCTACGATGATGTCAAACCGTGCGTCCAGGACTGCAGGATAGGCTATGGGGTGTTGATGGTTTCGTGGCTATAGACTAGTATGGCCATTGCAGAATGCTGCATCGCTATCCTCCATGCACTCCATGTGCTACCACTACTACGAGTACTACTAGTCCTACATGTACATGTAGCTCGAGCAGCCATACAATGTACTTGAGCTTCTGCTAATGCCACGAGTATGGCTATAAGTGACTCTGCCGCCTAGGCTATGGCTTGTCTTGCGTGCGTGTGGCATGATTAGTTCGGAGTTCGAACATAAAAGACGTTTCGCATCACTGAATTCATGAAGTGAAGTGACGCCTGGTGCAGCGGCCAGCGCAAGGGGGAGGTGCAGTTTGAAGCATGCCCGTTTTACATGTACATGTACATGTAGATAAATGTCATCGTAGCTAACTGTGCATGTACTTTGCACTAGCCATGCATGGTAGTGACTACCGCAGTACTGGTGATGCGTCCCATCTCATTCCGCAATCTTGCCATGTTGGTGTGAAACTGTTTTGGTATGCTTGGCGGATATCCGTATCGGGCCTTCACCTAACATAACTTTTGTAAACATTCACCAATGCAGTTACGGGTAAACTATGATTCGTATGAACAGCTAAGCCATGCAGCACTACCACAGTTCAACTGTATTGTAATAATTATGAATTTAAACAATAGGAGGACAGAGAAAGTGTTTTTACTCCGAGTTTCACGCACTAAGCGATCATCAGAAAACAGTAATGAGAAATCTGGATCAGTATTGGTTTATATACTCACAAAGCAAAGTGTAAATAGCTGCAGCATGGCGCAAGTCTAAAAGTTGTGAATGGCGGCAGTGCAAAGCGTGAATGACTGCATCATGAGACAAATCCAAACGTAAAAGTGTGAATGACAGCAGTGGTGAAAGGCGACAACCACTGGATCCGGTTGGCTCTTACTTAATTAGGTGATGGCTGTGGATGGTTTGAAGTTCCGAAGGTAGTACCTATTCTCGTGGCGACACTTTGACACAAGCTCACTCCTTTTGTTGAGAGAGAGGTGCTTAGGTACTTGCGCGATTGCCAATTTTTCCGCCAGGCACAGGTTGCACCTTTTGCTTTTGTTGCTGTAGGCCGCTGCTCCGCGGTGTACCGCGCATTGAATGCTGCATGCCTTCCCTTCATCCTTCTTGGTCCAGACGTACTGCGATAGGCGGGTGTCCTTCTCGTGTTGTCTGTGGCGGAATGAGGATCGGTGGTTAACTTATGGTAGCGTTGTTTGAATGTTGTTGCTGTTAATCCAGTATACTCCTTCTTCTCCATATCTGCGGTGACTCTTGCCTTATACACGATGCTCTCCGTTAGACACGCTCCGTCCAGTGGACATGAGTCTTTCGCCCGATCTTCCTTCACTGCTTCATTGTCATTGAGCTACGACACCATGCCAGCAGGTACATGTGTATGCCGTCCAGTGGACATGAGTCTTTCGCCCGATCTTCCTTCACTGCTTCATTGAGCTACGACACCATGCCAGCAGGTACATGTACATGTACAGTATGCGGTGCACTCTGCAGCCTTCGTCTACAGCCATGTATGAACAGCGGAATCTGCGACTATTCTGCGTATCATTATACATGAGTCATTGAGTGTACATCATAGTGCGCATGTGGTATACAATGTACATGTTATTGTAATTGTATAATGTCACCAAGACTGGCAAGAGAATAAGCTCTCAGGTGAGCTTATTATTGTATAGTTTACTATTGATGTTGATGAACTTTAATTAGTAATTAGTATAAATACTACTAGTACAGAGAGCTGAGTCCTCCGGCTCGATAGAGTGCTCAATGCGGAAGCAGAGCAGTAACACACGAGTCACAGAAAACCACGCGTGATCAGTTGTCTGAAGATTGCTATAATAATTATAGCAATCTTCAGACAACTGATAATGCGTGGTTTTCTGTGACTCGTGTACTACTACTAGTACTAGTACATGTACAAGCCATACATGTACATGACGTACATGTATTGTCGGAGTCGTGGTGACGCCTGGTACCGTTCAGGTTTCAACAGGTCACATTACAGGACTGCACTTTGCGTGCATTCATCGAGCACTACACCTGTAGCCATGCATGACTGTATGATTTATGTGTCTGTTTTCACTACAATCATTCTCTAGTTCTGTAGGTCATGTATGGTATCACTCATGCGTGAAATCATGTGATCATCAACCCTGTTTTTCCCGGGCTTGTGCTCCTGTGCACGAGACGTTTGCTTCAGATGTATGGCCTTTTTCCCGCTGCACGGCATCTCACGTGCAGAGTTTTTCCGCGTGCAGTGCTCTAGCAGCTTTGGTTTTGTTGTTGTTTTTATTCTCCTTGTGTTGGAAAGAGTTCATGGTGAACAGTGGTTGAATCCAATTCTAGCTAGGTTCTTGATAGGTTTTTGCTAGGGCATTGTTAGAGTGCATCCAAGATAATCCAAGATGGAGTTGGGTTTTTGAGAGTGAGAACTCGAACCAGTAAAGTTTGTCTCCATTGTTGAACGTGGGTTCGGAAAGTATCCGCAGTCGGTATTACAGTCACGGTACTGATGCAACCTGGTTCCGGGGAATACGGAACATAGTGGTCCTTCGAGCCGGATCACGTCCACGATGGAGAAGCTCAGGCGGAGTCAGCGCACGACGAAAGGCGTCGCAGCGCCAAAACTCGGGTACACAGACACCCAGTCCTACGCTGGTGCTAGTGGTGGAGATGACAGGATGACCGAAAGTAGGAGCCAAGCCGTCACCGCGAATTCAGCTGACAGGCTCAGCGCCAGGATAGCCGTGTTACAAGCGGAACAGGCTGTGGCGGAAAAGCGGCTGGAAATCGCCCGGTTGACGGAGCAGGCGATGTCGGAAGCCGAAGGGACGTTGAGGGAAAGGTCCGTTGAGACCTCCAGCTCTCCTGCGATGCGAGAAGAAGTCTTCCAGGAAGCGGGTGAGTTGCATGAGGCGGTTGCAGCCCAAGATACGTCGCTTATCGACTTTGACGATGATGTAGTTGCACCTAGTTCAGTTGCTGTTCCAACACCAACAGAGTCACACACGGTAGTCGGTGTAGAATCTCAGCCATCAGAAGGAGAGGCTTCCCATAGATCTACGCACGTAACGTCAGAATCAGCAGTAGGTCTACACCATGCAGAGGCCTGTCAGGCTAGCACACCACCACCGGTAGACGTAGTGATAGACGCACATGTAGAGAGGGACTCAGATGTCCAGCATGTCCGTGCATTCACTCCGGCACACAGCTACCACTACCAGGCACCGCCATGCGTAGTCCAAGATCCGATTCATGAACACCTGAATGAACCTCCGTTTCATCAACCAGAACCGCAGGCACAGGCACAGACACAGGTACTTCAAAGAACGATTGAACACACCACTGCTGTTGTAGCCGATGCCACTTACGCTGACTATCTAAGCGAGTCCATTCAGCGGGGAATAGGGCCCGAGCCCTGGGATAGGACATTCGTAGAGCGTCAGCAACTGCCGAGATCCAGTACTGGCAGTAGTCTACGCAGTGTAGAACGTGAGTTCCGGGCCAAGGAAGTTGCGTATCAGCAGCAACTACTACAGCTTCAGACGATGATCGATGAATCCGCGATCGTCGAGAAGCGGCGCCAGCGAGACGCTTACGCACTGCAGACGAACCTAGAGGAAGCTGAGGCGAGTAGGGCAATGGTCGAGCTAGCGTGCGACAAGCAAGCCAGGGATCTTGCGGCAGAACGAGAACGCAACGATGAGCTGGCCCGATCGATGACAGAGCTGAGGCAGCGGCTATTCGCAGCGAAGTATGCCCTACGAGAAAGCCGTGCCAGACAACGACGAGCGCCGAAGTCTGGTAGTGTCACTGAGCCTGTTAGAGAAGTACAAGGCTTACCGGTAGTGCAACCACAGCCTGCACAGGTCCACGAGGAGAGACGTGAGCGCTGCGAGTCGACCGCAAGCACAAGGCATAGCGGTATCCCGAGCACTACGTCACCCAGTCACCCACACGCATCCATGCCAGTACCCGCACCACGAAAGCACCGTCGCGACACGAGTGCACGTGCACGCGGCTACATGACAGTCTCAGACTCCGACTCAGAGTCAGGGCCACGTGGATACTCTAGTGCCAGAGCTACGGAGACGTGTACCGGTGGTAAGGGCGCAGCAAGTAATGCGAGTGAGGTCGAAGACGCGTACATGAGTGGTTGTACCTCTACTACCGGTACTATTACTGGCAGCACAGTTAACAGCAATCCTGCGCGTCAGATGGCAGACCTGGCCAGTGAGTTTGTAGGTGCAATCACCCAGGCCCTACGTCAAGGGCAGACCTCCCAGGTCGAGAATAGTAACGCTGGCATCAGACAGCTGGCTGCACGCCAGTCATCCACCAGCAGCAAGCTGCATCTTCTCTGGCAAGCCGGAGGAATGGCCCGCGTTCCTCGCGCTGTACCGAAGCAGCACGGAGCAATGCGCATACTCAAACGCAGAGAACGTCCAGCGCTTGCAGACCTGCCTGAAGGGACCAGCCCAGGAGGCAGTACAGCTGCTCCTGGCCGTGCCAGACAATGTAGACGAGGCCATCCGGACACTGGAGCGTCGTTTCGGCCGGCCGGAATTGGTAGTGAAACAGCTAATCGAGCAGGCCAAGGCGCTGAAGCCAGCCAGAGCAGAGGACACGGACGCCCTGCACTCCTTGGCCACATCTGTGAGGAACATCGTCCTCACTATGAAGCTGCTAAAGAGCCATGGCCACAGGAACAACCCTGCGCTCCGTGATGAGCTGGTGGCCAAGCTGTCGCTCCCCCATCGAATGCAGTGGGGCGAGTATGTGAAGGCCAAGGGCCTTAGTACGGATGAACTAGACCTTGGTGTTTTGTCTGAGTGGTTGGCCGAACGAGCGGAAGCCGCCTCTCTGGTGACACCAACCTCCACCAAGACGGCCGCCGTTCAGCCAACCCCACCGCCTAGAAGGTCAACGACCCTGGCCGCAGTAACAGCGGACACTACCCGCGACGCCACCTCTGACTCCCCAAGGAAGAAGAAGAGCTGCAGGAAGTGCATGGAAGAGCACGCAATGGCGCAGTGCAAGGAGTTCCAACAGCTACCCGTCCAGAAGCGATCAGAGCTGGTGCGCCTCTTGGGCCTGTGTGTGAACTGTCTACAGGACGGCCACTTCGCCAGAAATTGCACCTCGAGCCACTGCAGGAAGTGCAAAGGCAAACACAACACGCTGCTCCACAGGGACGACTCTGACAGGCCTAGCAGCGGTAGCCAACAAAACGCCGCTCGCACCAACACCGCGAATATGGCTTCTGCAGCGAGCGCCCTGCATGCCGAAACCCCAGCAAACCTACCAGCTCTGATGACGACTGTGGGGACAGTGAGATGTGGAGACGTCGAGCTACAAGCAACGATCATGCTGGATTCTGGGTCCACCTGCAGCTTCATCACCACCGACATGGCTGAGAAGCTGAATGTCCCACCCGGTGAGACCACGTCCGTGCGCACGACTGTTCTCGGTGGCAGCTGTCTGCAGCACGAGTCCAGGATCGCTCCCATAGAGATCTGTCACAAAGACTCAACTGCAACAACCCCAGTGCAGGCGGTCGTTCTCCCTCAGATAACCGCCGACATGCAACGTGTGGACTGGGATGCGCAGAAGGCAAGCTGGCCACACCTGCGCGGGATGAATCCGGATACCCCAGCTAACCCAACTGTGGACATCCTACTGGGCCTTGACGTTCCACAGTTGCACGCCTCGCTAGCCGAACGCCGTGGGCCTGGCCATGGTCCAATCGCAAGAAAGACACCACTCGGATGGATTTGTTTCGGTCTCCTGGAGGGGAGCGGAACATCGGCGGAACCAACCGTCCACCACGCCACACATGCCGCGACCGCAGAGCCCACCAAGCCAACCCTGGAGCTGAATGCCATGGTGCGTAGCATGTTCAATTTAGACACCATCCGCTCTACAGCCACGGGAGAGACCATGTCTCGAGCTGAGCGTGAAGCCGAGAAGGTGACTGACGACACCATGAGCCTCAACAACAACCGTGTCACCATTGGCATCCCGTGGGTCGCTGAAGACAGAAAGCCTCACGTGACCTCGAACAGACCGATGGCCCAACAACGACTGGCGAGTCTCCAACGGTCCCTGTACAAACGACCTGAGCTCGCAGCAGCGTACGCCGGTGTCATCCAACAGTACCTGACGAAGGGGTATATCCGCGAGGTGCCCGAGACGGAAGTGCACAACGATGCGGATGACCAGTGGTTCCTGCCCCACTTTCCCGTGATCAAGGAGGACCGCACCACCACCAAGGTGCGGATAGTGTTTGACGCGGCGGCCAAGAAGAACGACGTCTCGATCAACGAGGAGATGCACGCCGGCCCAGCACTACAGAACAACATCGTGAGTTGCCTACTCAAGTTCTGTAAGGAACCTGTGGCTCTGATGGCAGACATCAGCGAGATGTTCCTGCAAGTGGAGCTGGCTGAGAGAGACCGCAGGTATCACCGATTCCTGTGGGAGGTCGACGGAAGAGCCAAGGTGTTCGAATTCCAGCGAGTGTGCTTCGGGTGTAAGGCGTCGCCATACCTCGCCGGAAAGGCCGTTCAGGCTGTCGCGGCCACCTATGCCGCCGAAGGGTCACCCACACGCACCATCATCATGGACAACCTCTATGTGGACGACCTACTCGCGTCTGCGCCAACGCCAGAGGCGGCGGTGGGCCTACGTACTGACGTCCAGGAGACACTGGCCAAGGGAGGCTTCCATCTACGGAAGTGGATGTCGAACAGTGCAGAGGTCATGAAGTCTGTGCCAGAAGCCGACCGGGCGCCGAACACGCTGATCTCGGTAGCTGACCACCAACACCCCACGCTACCCTGCGTGAAGACGCTAGGAGTCGCCTGGGATGCTGAGAGCGACCATTTCACGTTCAAGTACCAGGTGCCCGTCATCACGCAGTACACCAAGCGCACTGTCCTGAGCAAGATGGCCTCTCTGTTTGACCCACGAGGGCAAGTGTCACCCTACACCATCCGAGCAAAGGTCATGTTCCAGGACGCCTGCCTCCGCGGGCTGGAATGGGATGAGGAGTTCGCAGAGCCTGAGGCTAAGGGTTGGAGGAAGTTCTTCGAGGAACTGCCCAAGCTAGAAGCCGTGAGAGCCACCAGGTCATTCAAGGACCCAGACCGGGATCCGGCCGATGCAGAGCTCAGCCTCCATGTGTTCGTTGACGCATCCGACGCAGCAGTCGCAACAGCAGTCTACGTACGGGCGAGTTATCCAGACGGCATGGCTCGGTCCACGCTGGCCATGGCCAAGGCTAAACCAGCCCCGCTACACCGACAGTCGATCCCCATGCTTGAGCTACGAGCAGCTGTACTCGGCGCCGAGGTAGCCGAACAAGTCGCCCAAGCCCTCGGCATCAGCTCGTCCGACATCACGTACTGGAGTGATAGCCTCAATGTCCTGTACTGGCTTCACTCACACAGCCGCCGTTTCAAAGTCGAGGTGGGCAACAGGGTCAGCAAGATCCAAGCACTGTCGGACCCCCGTCAGTGGAGGCACGTTCCGACATCAATCAACCCTGCGGACAAGGGCACCCGGGGCCTATCTGCAGCCCAGCTCGCATCCGATGACGACTGGTGGCATGGCCCGAAGTTCTTACGCGGACCCGAGAGTGCATTCCCGGCGCGGCCGATCGAGGTTCCCAGTAGTCTGCCGGCAGAGCTGAAGAAGCGATCCGCTATGTCGTTCAGCGCGGTTCCAGGGAGGTACCAGCTTGACCCCTCCAACTTCTCGTCTTGGACGCGGCTCATCCGTGTCACCGCTTGGTGTCAGCGCTTTGTACGTAACGTCCGTATACCGAGGGAGGCTGGCGCCAACAGACCAACACCCGCTCCACGACGCAAGTTTGGATCTGCCAAGTCAGTGAACGGTATGACAGTACCCGCTCTCTCCCCTGCAGAGGTCCAGGCGGCCGACGTGTTCTGGGTACGGAAGGCCCAGGAGGAGGTGTATGGCAAGGTCATCAAGCGACTGGAGTCCGGCAAGGAACCCGATCCCAACGAGCCATTGCTGAAGCTGCGACCCCAGCTGGAGGAGGTACATGGCACAACCGTACTGACGGTCGGTGGGAGACTCACCACTGCACACCATCTGCCGCTGACGACAAGACACCCCATCATCCTGCCACCGAAACATCGGGTTACAGCCCTGATCGTGGATGACGAAGACGAGAGATGTCAGCACTCCATGGGTCCCAACCACCTGCTGGCCAACCTCAGCAACCGGTACTGGCTGATAAACGGGAAGTCCGTTGTGCGACAGCATCGCCACAGGTGCGTCAAGTGCCGACGAGGCTACGCGAAGGCTTTGACTCCAATCATGGGAGGGTTGCCGGATTACCGGACCTCGTCACCACTTATCGCCTTCAGCAAGGTGACCATCGACTTTGCCGGTCCATTTCTGACGCGCCAGGGACGAGGCAAGGTGCAGCAGAAGCGGTATATCTGCGTATTCTCGTGCCTGCTGACCAGAGCGGTACATCTGGAGCCCGTCAACTCGCTCGACACAGATGGGTTCTTGATGGCGATGACCCGATTCTGCAAGAGGCGTGGAACCCCGGAGTTCATAGTGACAGACAACGGGTCGAACTTCACCGCCGCAGAGCGACAGCTGCGCGAAGCCACCTGCACGATAGATCAAGACCGCCTAACCACCCACTCCGAGCTGCGAGATGTACAGTGGCATTTCAACCCACCGAGAACGCCCCACTTCGGTGGTGTAGTAGAAACGATGGTCAAGGCAGTCAAACGCGCACTCTGGCATGTGCTGCACCAGGCTGGCCTCACGGATGAGGAGTTCTCAACAGCGCTGGTACATGCCGAGGCAATGCTGAATTCCCGTCCCCTTACCACCGTATCATCTGACAGCGACGATCCAGAAGCGTTGACGCCAAACCACTTCCTGATGGGACGCGCGGCTGCAGTCACACACCTCGAGGCGGAGACAGAGGATCTGGAGAAGGTCCACCCCAGACGGCGCTGGCTGTTTCTACAAGTGCTGACAAGGCAAGTTTGGAAGAGGTGGCTGCGAGAGATGGTCCCGGCGCTAAACGTCCGGTCCAAGTGGTACAGGAAGGCAAAAGACGTCGAGGAGGGTGAGGTCTTCCTTGTCATGGATGAGAGTACTCCGCGCGCGACATGGCCTCTGGGACGCGTCACAGCCACATACCCAGGGCAAGATGGTGTCGTCCGTGCAGTCAACGTGAAGATCAAAGGCAAGGAGTATCGACGATCAGTTCATCGCCTCATCCCACTGGAGGTAACAGAGGGTGAGGTGGAGCTCGACTCCGAGAACTGCCCAGCCACAGCCAACGTCAATGTGGACAATGTCACCAGCTGAGCGAATAGTGGATGGTGGTACGGCAGTGGCGATGAGGTAGTAAGGCTGTGACTGTAGTGTTAGCAAGCAATCCACAATCAGAGTGAACAATACATCCAACCGGCTAGATAAGACGTATCCTCGTTCCCGGATATGTCTAGTGACATTACGGCATGCATTTGACAATGATGTTAGGTGTGACATCCAATAGCAGTTCCCCAGGAGTTAGAACATCACTCGGAATATTAGTTTGTCTCACTCGCATACATTGATTAGGCTATGATTCGTTCGCGAGGGAGGTATGTCGGAGTCGTGGTGACGCCTGGTACCGTTCAGGTTTCAACAGGTCACATTACAGGACTGCACTTTGCGTGCATTCATCGAGCACTACACCTGTAGCCATGCATGACTGTATGATTTATGTGTCTGTTTTCACTACAATCATTCTCTAGTTCTGTAGGTCATGTATGGTATCACTCATGCGTGAAATCATGTGATCATCAACCCTGTTTTTCCCGGGCTTGTGCTCCTGTGCCCGAGACGTTTGCTTCAGATGTATGGCCTTTTTCCCGCTGCACGGCATCTCACGTGCAGAGTTTTTCCGCGTGCAGTGCTCTAGCAGCTTTGGTTTTGTTGTTGTTTTTATTCTCCTTGTGTTGGAAAGAGTTCATGGTGAACAGTGGTTGAATCCAATTCTAGCTAGGTTCTTGATAGGTTTTTGCTAGGGCATTGTTAGAGTGCATCCAAGATAATCCAAGATGGAGTTGGGTTTTTGAGAGTGAGAACTCGAACCAGTAAAATTTGTCTCCATTGTTGAACGTGGGTTCGGAAAGTATCCGCAGTCGGTATTACAGTCACGGTACTGATGCAACCTGGTTCCGGGGAATACGGAACATGTATGGCTTGTACAGCACAGCCGAGTCCGCCGGGGAACGATCCTGGATTGCTGGAAGATACTGTACATGTACAATGTTGATGGTTGGCAGCATGAAACAAGGACTACATAGTCATTGTAGGTGGACGAACCAACAGCAATGACATGTATGAACTAAAACAAGGCTTTGTCATGGTTACCATGTACTACTAGTATGCAGGTATGGATGTGGCCAGATTTCGTGAGCTCAGTCTGCTGCCTAAGGCCTACTGGAGGACTTCATCATGTGCAGAGGGCACGGTGAGGGCAAGAAAGCGTCCGAGGGAGTCTCATCAGGCTTCTATAGACACCATTCTACGTATGAAACGCATTTCTGCCCAGACCTTCACTTCAGATCTACTTCTTTTTTTAAAAGTACTTCTACTACTACTACTAGGGTCCTCTAGGGAGAGGGGGGGGGGGTGACGTCGACACCAGACGGGAGAGAAAGGGGTTCCGGGAAACAAGATCTACCCCACGCCTTACTAGCCAGATAGCCATGCTTTTTACACCGAGCATCTGCGAGTCTGTCAGACTCAGCCCGTGAGTGTGGATAGAGTGTGGACTGCAAGGTGAGCACTGAGCACCATGCCAGCCGGCAATGCCGACATTCAATCATAACAAAACCCGTTAATGCGTCATGCGCAATGCAGCTGAACAGCGAAACAGAATCAAGAGAAAGGCTATAGTCTGCTAGTGCTTGGGAACAACAGCTATCATACGTTCAGATCACGGTAACAAGCTCCATTCAAACTTTGCAACAAAAGTACGTTTGGTAATATAATAATACAGGTCGCATGTCTCCCAAATAATGGGTTCCACGCATCTGTCAACTGTTTCACCATGAAATAGATTGCAGCAGGAAGCATACGAAAAACAATATACAGGTTTTAGTACACGACAAGTACATGGTAATATACATTTGGCAAATTCCTGCTCATCCACCGTGACGATGGCATACCCGCTAAGGTGCATTGAGACAATCCATGCCGGGGCACTACAAGGTGCTGTTACAGATGGTATTAGTAGCCTAATCGCACTGGATATGTACACGGGAAGTGACTAAGCGAGAGAGACAGAAAGAGATCAACATGCTGAGAAAGCCTTCCTTTTATCATGCCTATAGTGTTCATGGTGACTCCAGGCCCCTGAACCAGCCACTGCCGTACGTGGCACAGTAGTATACACCTCTCTTGACTTGATCTATTGCGCAATCACGTAGCTGCCCTGGCTGCCAAACATACTTATTGATCTTCTTCCAGGACGCGCCAGCATCGTGCGAGAGGTACACGCCCGGGTTCAGGAAGTTGACGGTGTGCGATGGGTTGTTAGCGACCAGAAGAGTCTTTGTATCCCATGCTGCTATTTCCACATCAATCACAAAGGGCATGTAGAAGATTTTCTCCCACTTGCTGTCGTGTCCAGCACTTCTTCTCCACACACCGCCTCCGGATGCATTACTATAGCTGTAGCCACATGCAATGTACAGGTTTCCGTCTTCATCCACCTCCACGTCATTCACTCCTCCAATTCCTGCTGGTATGTCGACTCTGCTCCACTGCAAACCTTTGTTTGTGGACATGTACAGCCCTCCGGTGGGGTCATGGGCAGGGTTTTGGAGGGCCACAAACGCCACTGCTGCGTAAAACTCTGTGCTATTGTTCGGATTGAAGAGGATCTTGTTGACATTGAGGTTGTCAGGAAGACCGTTGTTGCGTCTGCCGAATGACTTTCCGCCATTGGTACTTACGTACACACCAAAGTCGTCAAAGCCTGGGGCCATGGGGATGTGATACTCCACTCTCAGAGCTGGAATGCAGAAGAAGATGGTGCTGGAGTTGTCCGGGTCAAACATCAAACTGTTCTGCACTATAATAGGGTTGCTCTGGTTCTTAGGAAAGTTCACTGGGCACGAGACCGGTGCCCAACTAGCACCATTGTCGGTGGATCGAACAAGACAGCCAGCACTCCATTGCCGAAAGTGTAGGGTGTAGAAGGTTTGATTGTCACTAGGATCTATGGCAACAGAGCATACCGATGCTTCTCTTGGCATGAACCTGGCCATGCCGGCCTGGGCATTCTTCCGCACTAGATCCCCGTCACTCGTAGTTGACCACAGCCAGTTTTCACCGGAGCACATGAAGAGAGTTTCCGGAAAGCGCTTGTCTTGCATGAGTTCCTCGCACGGCGTGTTGCTATTCCCTGCTCCAACCCAATGTCCACTTCCTGGCGATGTTTCTTGTTCTTGGGACGAATACCATGATAGTCCGTTGTCTGTACTGTTTGTAACCACTTTGGCTACTTGCACCATTAGAAATGCTCCATCGGCATTGAAATCGAGGATGTCACCCGACTTGACAAAGTAATCATCCTGCTCTTCGATCCACATCTTTTCCAGGTACGCCAAGTGCACATTAACACCCATGGGATTGCCACGTGACTTCCAGTACTCCACTGCCTCTCCCGTTGTGTTCGCCCAGATCTTGCCGCCACGCCAGCACGCGTCCCAGTGCACTCCGCCATTGTGTGTGCACCACATCACCACCGGCATGGCAGTGACTTGACTCTTGTAATCATTCATCACGTATATGCGCGACGCATTGTTAGGATCCACGCGTACTCTCACCAGCCCATGTAGGTAATGTTCGGGAATCTTGCTGTACGTTTTCTGCGCCTCCGCTTGACTTATTCCAAACCAGTACCCCAGAGTTTTAAAGTAGAATGACTTGACTTCGTAGTCGGCAGCGAGGAGACTCATATTGATATGCATATCACCAATGAGACTCTTCCACGTTGCACCTTCATTCAGAGTCAGGAACAGACCACCACTGCTGGAAGTTATTCCACCTTCCTTGTCTGCCTCCCACATAGTCAGGGTTATCACGTAAATCTCAAACTTCTTGTTGATTTTGTCCACTCTGACGTCCATGTCCCTGACAATGTCGTTGTCTACATGCAGCAGTGTCCACGTATCACCGTGATCTATACTCTTGTACAGTCCGTACGTAGTGGCGGCGAATACATGACTGGGCACGAGGGGATTCACCGCGATACGAACAATGTTCGCTGCATGTGGGATTGTAGTACCGCCTAGCAGTGACCATGTTTCACCCCTGTCCATGGAGCGCCATATTGAACTCGTGGAGATGTTCTCCATCGGAGTGCCAGCAACATCATCTAAACTAATGGCAACTGGCTCGTGCGGTGGTTTCCTTTCTCCAGGAGTGCCATGTGGATAGGCACTGGTGTAAATGAACCGGCCGAAATAGTAAGCATCTCCAGCACCGGCATACCAAATGGAGTCATTGGTGGGGTCCGCCTGGATATAGTTGATGTGCGACATATTCCAAGTTGCGTCCAGGTCATAGCGATACGTCCACGAGCGGCCTTTGTCCTTCGTCATCCACATGCCCTCGGACTTATCTGATGAGCAGAAGCCCAGATTCTCGTCCTGGTGTGAGAATCCTACAGCCTTGATCTGTATAGGTCCCAGCTGCGTGGCATTGTATGCTGCATCATACTCCACCATGCCCCAGTAGGTCGTGCCACGATTGGAGGAAAAGTACGCGTTACCCATGTTCGGCCCTTGATACGTCCAGTCTGGGTCCGTCGGATGCCAGTAGCCGCGATCGCTGTTGCCCGACATGCCCGGGCCAAACTGCAGCCATTCGACGGACGGATCACTGTCCACTCTGACGGTCTGCAGTGTTTGAAAGTACGGCGGCACGTTCTCCTCCAGTGAAGTGTCTTGTTCAGGCTGCCAGTGCTGACTCTGATCAGCTTCATCAGCAGTTGATGGTCGCACGTCCGCATCGGCGAAGGCCAGTAGGCCTACGATGATCGTGCAGACCAGCAGAGCTCCGACGCCCACAAGCCGACACATCTTCCTGCTTTGGCCCGATGCACTTCAGGACAGTGCGAGTTGAGTGGTCACTGAGAAGCTACCACGTACCAGTCTCTTCAGACACTCCATGTGCTCTACTTCTCTGTCCACCGTTGCCGTTTCCAGGATGAGCCTAAAACAGTTTCTAATTTTCGGTAAATTCTAATTCAATTGCCTCGGCCTCGTGATCGATTGTCCTTTTCTCGTTGTCGACGACGCACGCCATGGCATAGTATGTACATGTATGGCAAACGATCGTGTCAGTCGGGGTTTGGTGTGATCACGTGAGGTAAGGACGGTTCGAGACTATCCTGCCTTTTTAGACTAGTCTAGTCCAAGATCCCGAACCGCCCAAATCTTCAAACTCAGACTAGCTTCTTTTCGTTCAAACTGTCTCTTTGGATCAGAAGGATGCTAATATAACCCACTTTCATTCAATGTTGATTCAAAAGGAAAGAAAAGCATTCAAACCAGTGTCCTTCGACTGAATGTACCCCCCAGTGAGTAGTGACTGTGTGGATGGGGCATCCACGGATTCAGAAAGTCAGGCTAGTACCATCCATGCCTTGACCGTCATGCAGACTCCCGGAGAGATACCCACTGCCACTAGGCATTGTGGGCATCAGCCATCAGCGTTAGAAACATGTAGTGTCATCCAGAACAGTGCAGCACTTCGGCAGTTGAAGTAACATCACATCGTTCCAGGGAGTAGCAAAATGCGCTGTACCGACATCTTTACTGCTCCCCGCTCGGGACTATTTCAGGCTGATTCGTACAACAAACACATCATGTACAGTGTACATTGTGCAAAGCAGAGTGTAGTTCCCACCATCGTGAGCTAGAGGTACTCTGCAGACTCGCGTGTTACCAATTAACCAGGATTTCCTTCAGCCTTTTGAAATCCTGTATCATGTGCATTCGCGGTTGTAGGTGTATAGTTTGAAATTTGCACCCTCCTGCGGAGCCCACGCTGCTTTGGCAGTGGCGGAGGCTCGCTTGCCGACGTAACCGTCGGAGACCATCATGAACAATGGACTGACTAATTAATCACTTGTCCTGTCTTTCTAAATAACATGTTATTGCACATGTTCTTGGTTTAGTTTTTGTGCCTTTTCGAAAAAAAAACCAATTTTACTTACTCGTGTGAGTATGCCATATTTTTAGTAGCAGAGGAATAGGAACGCAACAGAGGTGCAAGCCAAGCGCCTGAGCCGAGGTGCAAGCCAAGAGCCTGAGGAGTGAGGTGCAAGCCAAGCTTTGCAAGGGCAAGGCGCCACCGCGGTACCGCCAGGCCAGGGAAGCGCGGATACATGACGTGTATTCTCACTTCCGGCTTATTAGTACGTGAGCGGTTCAATCGACACCTTCAAAAAAGGCCCTGCATGCTGCAGCCTGGGTCATGTAACTAACTTTTCAAGGTGTCAATATGGCACCCTTGTCCCGCCTCTCTTTCAAGATCACCACGTAGATCTACACGAATCACAGACTGTATCAACACTATCACGAGTAGATACAGTAGATTTACTCGTAGATCTACTCGCAGTTGTGCTGCGCCTTCAACGCCTCAGTGCAGTTGCCTCGAGGAAGACTAGCCCTCTCGTTTTCACCAGGAACTCGGCGCAAGATGGCAGAAAGTCGAGGAGGATGTTCTTGCCCTTCCTCTTCGTTGCAGCGGTCTCCGACCCCACGAATGCACCAGTCCTCGGCCACTCAAGCAGCCCCGAGCAACGCCAACAAGTAACGGTTGGGTGTTGACTTGGAAGCAGGCACCAGACTGTCGGTGACGAAACCAGCCAGAGCTCTACAAAAACACTTCATCAAGTGCTCTAGCCCACGCGCGTGACTCCGAGCCGTTCACTTGTTGACGTGCATAATCTTTTTACATGCCAAGCTCCACGGCTAACAAGCGGTCCTTGGCCTAGCTCAAACGAGCTCTGGTGGTACTCCGCACACATCCCAAGAAATAAGGTGAGCCACACAACAGCCTAACCCTGCCAGACGACCAGGGAGAGTGGCGCTCTGTTGTTCATGGTGGCATGTACCCTGGTATGTTTCTGCACCGCTCCTGCTTCAGGCTACCGTGGCTTGTGCAAGCTGACGGAGCCTGCGTCCGAAATGCAAGCGCCTCTGCCGCTCTTCGTCCGAATTACGAGCCTCGACGCTCTTTCAAGCTGTCACTCGCCGACGACCAGCGCACTGTTCGGAGTCCATTTCCGGACGTTGACATCCCGTCAGGAAGCATTTCCGCAGCGCACTATGTGCTCGACGGCGGAAAGCGCCACGCTCGGTCGTCCGACATTGCACTGGTGGACTGTTTGGACAGGGTGGCGCTGACGTACGGTGACCTGCGTGACATGCACGAGGCTTTCCGCTGCTCCCTTGTCGGCCGGGGCATACAGCGCGGCGACGTTGCGTTGTTCTATTTGCACAACTGTCCCGAGTTCGCTGTATGCCTGTATGGGTGTCTGTCCGCCGGCGTGCGAGTTTCGCCATGTAACCATGCGTATGGCGTGGACGAGTTAGCTTATCAGATACAACGAACACAGCCCAAGCTGATAGTCACATTTCAGGACGGTTTGGAGACGGTGTCCCAGGCACTATGCAAGGCATCTCTGCATGGAGCTGAAGTAGTTTTGGCTGATTTAGCTCCTGAAGGGAGCCCATCTGCGCATTGCACTAGCACTCCGCCGACTCCGCTTGCTGACTTCTTGAACGATGGCCAAAAATACAGCTCGCCTGATCGTGTGCATGACTGTATGCGGGACACTGCTATATTGCCGTTTTCCAGTGGAACGACGGGTGCGCCGAAACCCATCGCTCTCTCGCATCACAACCTGATCGCCAACATTTGCCAGCAGACGGACACCCCCGGCAGAGACATATTCAATCACCATGGATACCATGGGGACAATCGGCCGGAGGCCACCGTCGGCGTTATGCCGTTTTTTCACATCTACGGTCTGACGGTGACGCTCGGCAGCGCTCTTCTGCACGGAGGCAAGGTGGTCACCATGGCCAAGTTTCAGCCGGACCTGTTCCTGCAGAGCTGTGCAAAGCATCGGGTCAGTCAGCTACACTTCGTGCCACCACTGACACTGTTCATGGCCCAGGACAGCCGTGTAAGCAACTACGACCTTTCGTCGGTCAAGTCCATATTCTGCGGTGCAGCGCCCATGGGCGAAGAACTCGCACGTCAAGCATCACAGCGGCTCAATGGTGCGGTGGTTCGCCAAGGCTACGGCATGACGGAGCTCAGTCCAATCTGCATGGCGTCACCACTGCATGCCACAAAGTACGGCTCTGTGGGCGTGCCCGTGCCTAACACAGAAGTCCGTGTGGTGGATATCGAGTCGGGGAAGCTGCTCGGCGCTGGGGAGAATGGCGAGATTCGCATCCACGGTCCACAGGTGAGTGGTGTCCTGCTGATGTGTATTTCCTATACAGCCCCCACATTCACACACAGTTTTTCATACAGTGCTACAAGACCCACCCTCTCCTGGCATATATACCGGCATGTTAAACTGGAAAATTTCGGTGGAGTTCTATTTTCGGTAACTTCGGTACATATATTATTATAGTCAAGAGGGGTAAGCAGCAGCATTCGGCCTTGTCCAGATTATTAGGCCGGAGAACGCAACGGTGTGGTGTGCTGGTTGATAATAAACTTCGGTAAAGGTAATTTTTACCTAAAATAAAACACACCAAAAATATACGTACATGCATGCTGACTGCAGTACGGAAAACTGGTTTACCGAAACGGTCCGAAAGTTTTGCGCTACCGAACCGTTTATCAGTTTGGGAAATACCGAAAATATCACACCACCGAAATTTCCCGGTTTTACAGTATTTGAAACCCACAATTTTGTTAGTCTTTTAAAGCTGACAAAGTAAGCGAGCGGTATTTGGTTGGGAGGCGTGTACGATTGTAAGAGTTTTTGCTACAGGCACGCACAATAGTATTCATATTCAAAACTACACGCAGTTACCACAAGAGAAAATAATTTCATTACTTGATATGGTGACCGCGTATCAGGAGAAAGTTACTATAATTATATTAATACGTTCTGCAAGTGAAAACCGGTGGTGGAGATTTGATATTGTCAGCATGGACGAGAAAGGAGTGAGTGTGTGTGTGTGTGTGTGTGTGTGTGTGAGAGAGAGAGAGAGAGAGAGAGAGATTGTGTGTGTGTGTGTGTGTGTGTGTGTGTGTGCGCGCGCGCGTGCGTGTGTACGTGTGTGAGCGCATGAGAGCGAGAATCTCGTATACGCTCATGGGCTCTGACTTGGCCAGGGTCTTCCTCCTCTCAACAGTGCATGGCTCCACCAGACAGTGCAGCGGTTGCATATAATGCACCTAACGCACCTCTCTACTAAATCCTTCGATACTCCATAGGAAAACTCACACTTCAATATTATTATTTATCCCAAGGAGTGAGGCCGAAGCGCATAGTGAAGACGATGTCCAGACTAGTAATGGTAGGATTCCGTCTGTTCTGGTACTATAACAATGAGGAAAGAATGGACTCGGATGGAGAGCCAAGAATTAATTTATAAAAAAGAGAAAGGACCAAGGAACTAGTGGTGTTAGTGGACTGTATAGCGTAACTTGTAGTTCCTTGGTCCTTTCTCTTTTATATAAAGAGGAAAGACGTCAATATTATCCAATAGTTAGCGTAAGTTGGATGCAAGACGCGACAAGTGCCAAATTTGAGAAATTGAGATTTTGAGCTCATTGTAATCAAAAGGGCTAGAAGTACTTTCAGGCAAAAATTCACATTCAAAATCTGACTAGAACCACTTCAAAAATGATGGCCTAATATGGATTTAGGAAAAAGCCGCACGTAAAATGAATCCTTTTTGGTCAATATCCGAAAAGTCATAAGATATAGATTGATCACAAAAGCACAGCCTTGAACAGTCTTAATTTCAGAAATTTTCGGTGCTCAATATTTTTGGTATGAGGGCAAAAAGGCCAGGTTAGGTGAACAGAAAATTAGGTACATAGAAGCAGTTGATTATGTGTTAGTGTTTGTTCGGTGTATTGAAATTTTAGGCATGAAACAGACGCACCGAAAGCATAGAAAATAAAAGCACACCAACAATTTGTGAAATTACGGTATACAAATAGTGGATGGTAAAAATAGAGTATAAAAATAATGGATGGGTAGGTAGGTGGATGTACCTAGACATTAGTAGACAGGTGCATGTAGAGGAGACGGCTCGATACCGGGACGTTTTGACAGCCAAATTTGTATAGACCCAAACCGATCATCAGCGTTGATTTTTCACTCGAAATATGTTTGTGGAAGGAAACTGGAATGTTGAAGTTTGCTCTGGGGCCAGAGTCGATCGAACTGAGCCACTCCTTTGTGTTGACCCATTGCCTCCAAGTTGCCCAATTTTTCGCTTCAAAAAAGTTCAAATCAGAGGTGGCTCCAAACCGGACACGTTTTAGATTGCACGTCAAATTCACTCTGGGTCTGAAATTAGGTAATTGCTATCGCTCCACGACGGCCAGTATAGAGTAACAATAAGCCTTGTGTGTGCTTCCATTAGTTTTGATTGGTATGCGGTGCTTTATTGGCGAGAGGCGAGCCGCTGTTTACCTGCGACAAGAAGTTGATTTTTCGAAAGTCGTAAAACTCAAGTCGCAGTGCGAAGCAACACGTCAAAAACTCACCTGCTTGATATGGCGCTTCTGGTCATCGCAGAGCCATGAAATTTTGGCTCGGAGTATAACAAGTAGTAGTCTCACTGTGACATATGTTTTCTAATCAAAATACCAAGAGAGAAAGTGAATATTGAGTCCGTTGCAAACCGGTGTCCTATTTGAAACCGTCCCCTCTACATGTCTTTAATTTATAATTATGCACATGTACATGTCTATGCACAAGTACCGTTGTGGACATGGAAATCTGATGGGATGACCGGGGCCCGGCACCCTTACTGCTTTCAGCGCGTACATGCACTCTGTAGTTCACGTGCACAGGCTGTAAAAACGGAGCAGGTGCAAGGCCAGCAGCGCCTCGTTGCCACTTGACGTCTCAACAGATTTCAATGTCCGCGACGGTAGGTATCACAGTGGGTGGGTGGGTAGGGAGGGTGGTCGGTAGGGTGGCGGCTAGCTATGTAGATACAGTAAGTTGGTGAGGGTCAGCGGGTGATAACGATCTGAGGTGATTGTATTGTCGGCGGTGGTGACCGAGAAGGCAACACGTATGCACTCTTGGAGGAGGGATAAGCGGCTCGGAGACAATAACTTTATTATGGGAATCAGCAGAATCAGCGAAGCGGAGGAGGAGGACTCATGGACGTGTCGGCTGATGTACCACACACGTTACTGGTTTCAATGCGTGCATACATGTATGCCAGGTGCCGGGTAGCTGCAGGAGAATACACCACATGTGCTGGCTGCACTGGACACCTACACCTCAGACCTGGGAATCTGTGACATGGTTGCAGTGGAGAGAAGTGAGTCGGCTTGCATGGATTGTGAACTGCATACTTCGGCGAATAGCTACACTTCCATCCAGGTAGTCACTGCTATTGTCGTAACCGATGTCTTCTACTGACGTGAGGTCGGAGTGTAGGTCTCCGATACAATCTCTGAATATCGTAGACACAGAGCAAGCGCGCCTGTCCTCAAGTACAACTCATCTAAGAGTCTACTTGAGTCTACTTGCAGCTTGGCTTTGGACTCCATAGTTCGTCCTCATGTTTCTCCTGCATGTACAAAAATACATTTGCTTATGATGGATGCGCTAAAAAATCGGTGTCCAGGGAAAACAGTCAAAATCAAGGGAACTCAGCGCCATTGTCCAGGGAACTCAAGCCTCCAGGTTGCCGGCATGTTTTTCAGGGCATGCTTGTCAGTGACCTAACTAGCATGCAGTTCACAACGGGTTATCTTGCCAACCCCAACTCGCAATGTGTGTGTGCAAGTGTTGCACCTGATGTTTCTTTCCTTCCAAGCATCTTAGGTCAGGTGTGTGTGGGGATGTGTCTGCTGGGTGATTCTCTTCGGTTGCTTTAACTGCATGGCCGCCTGTTGTATAGATTGATGTTGAATGAAGCCTTCCACGCCAGTGCGAGGAGTGGGATTCAAAGCAACAAACAACACTGCCTTCTCATCAGTAGGATGGACACATATTAGAATCTACACTGTACCAGGAATCCACAACCAAGAGTATGTCTCTGTTTATGGGTCAGTGTGCGGCGCGCTACCTTCATTACGTAACCTGTCTGCAGTACACTTTACACTCGTGCACCCAAACCCAGTATCTTGCATACCAGCGATCGTTTCAAGTTTGCTCGGTCCAGTCGTGTACCTACCTGATCTCCAGTTGCAATGATCCCACAGCAATGACGCAACCAAGTCCTTTTTCGCCGTTACTCGGGGTTTCATGTGAAACACTCACCAGACAGCATGATATGACCAAGACTAGCATTCACTAGAATATATACGGAGGGGGGTTTCAGAAAAGAGGGCAGAGGTGATGGAGGTGCAATATTTCGATAGCGCAAGGAAAAGGAGGTGGCAAAAATCAGCGTGATTATAAATATATGAGAAAAAAGATGTTACATACCATTGGGTTAAAAGTGTAGAGCATCGTGTAGAGGAATAGTGCCATTCTATGCATGTAGCCCACATGCTAGTGTGCAATTACCTGGCAACACAGCAGTACAGATTCAGTGTGCTGCATTATGACACATGACGAAGGTGGTGTAACAAAAATGGAGATGAGGATTTTGCGTAGTGGGAATCACTCACGCCAGGCAAGGGGTGACTACCACACTCGCCAAGGCATCGACAAACCGGCGACAGAATATAACATCCGCCAAGCACGTGAGCCAGGAGCCTTGCAGAGTGCTCACCACTCCTGCGCCCCGCGGAACCCAGGCCCGATCACCACTTCCCCGATCGCGGCCCGACGGGCAAAACAGCCACTCCCAGCCTGGCGTGGCTCATGTATTTGCCGTTCATCACGTTACCCTTTTGAGCGGGAACTTGTTGGAATGGCGGCATCTGGAGGTTAACTCGCCCTCTTGTTCAGGCGGGTATTCCTGTCGGCGATGATGATACAGAATTTCTCTGTTACGCAGAGATTGCACCGTTTGCTGACGTTGCTATACCCTTTAGCTTGCTCTGCAATCCTCCACTTGATGGTATACTGCCTGTTCTCTTTCAGCTGCCATACATGTGTGGATAGCTCCGTGTTGCTCCTCCTCGACTCGATGTTCATGTCCAATTTGTGCTTGTAGTGTCGCTTCTTGAATGGTGGCTCAGTAGATCCGATGTACACCTAAGGTTATGCTCGTTTTCTCTCGCCACGTACGCTTCATAACTGACTTCTTGGGCGTTGCACCGGCTGTTCAGCGGGCACTCCGATTGAGCGCGGCAGTTGCATGGCTTTCAATACGCTTCGGCTCGTAGCATCTTGTTGTGCCCGTTATCACTGCGGTTACGTTGTGCATGCAACTGTAGCTGACTTTGATGTTATTTTGCTGTTTGCAGCTTGGAATTCAGTGCTTCTTCACCGATAGCAAGAACGTCGCCGCCACATTCCTACTAACATTCTTGCTGAAAGGCGGGTTGAACCAGAACACTTTCCTCCTATGATTCTTTCTGTTCCTTGCTGTAGCACGTGTCACCTTCTCCTGGTATTCAATCGTTGAAGCGAATCCACTTTATTTCAGTGCGTTCTGGTATAACGGCGCCGCCTCGCCGAATGTCTGCTGATCGGCCGATATATCTGATACTCTCCGCTCGATCGCCTTAGGGAGGTTTCTCAGTACCATTGGTGGATGGTTCGACCTCCTGCTTACATACAGTGGCATGTTGTTCGGCTTCCGGGATGGTTAGGGTTAGGGTTAGGGTAAGGGTAAGGGTAAGGGCTAAAGGAGCTGCAAAGCATAGCGGTCGTAGGGTGGCACAGCACAAAGCGGAACGCAACGCTGCGGGATTAAGAGCGCGGTGGATAGAAAATGTAACACGAAGCAATGCAAAAGAAGGGAAAGAACACAATTTGAGGAGTAATGGAGAATTAATTATGAAAGAAAAGTGGGACCGTCCAGGAGTGGGTAACCAGCTTGTTTCGCTATTTCAATAATAGCTCACCACACCAATGGAACAGTTAGTGATGGAACGGTCCCTTATCAATGCAAAAAGTTAGATATTCTAGAACTCAAGAATTCGAGGTGTGAAATTACACGTGTTTGTGTGTCAATTAACTCGAGAGGCTCTTGGTCTTCTTCCATGCAATAAATGGTGGTTGACCGAGCTTGGTGTCGAGTTTCTGCTTGATCCACAAGTCTCGCAATGTTTTGTTTAGACCCATAAGGGGTCGTCCGCAATTATCGAAAGTTTTTTCCAATCCGTAGTAGCTTATTTTCCTCACCCACCCACCCACCCACCCCCCCCCCCCCCCAGTCCGTAATAAAATATTATTGATGGACACACAACCCAACACATATGGAACAAACTCAATCAGTGCTGGTCCACAAGCAATTTATTGTTCTGTAATAATCAGAGTCACCAGCGGTTTTGAAAAAGGGCTGCTTCTTCACCGCCTTTCCAAACAACGTCGCCTGTCTGGACATAGTCAATAACAGTCGTCAGCGCCAGCGCTAGACGGAAGGACTTCAAAGGAGTGCATGGAAGACGGTACTCTGGACGAAGGAGACAGTGAAACTCAAAAATAGAAAGTGTCGACTCGCCGTCGAATGCGCCGAACTATATGATCCCCGGCCCAGGACTAGCGAGCAGCCAAGGAAGCGCGCGCGGGGGCGCAGAAACTGCCAGAACTACAAAAATATTTGTAGTAGACAGTTCGCGCGCAGCCGCGCGTGGAAAACAGGGGCTACACGTAGACGTACACGTGGCACGCGCACGTGTCATTTCGGAAGTTTTTCAATCCGTAACTGGCCTTGACCCACCCACCCACTTTCGAAGCTACTACGGATTGGAAAAAACTTTCGATAATCGCGGACGACCCCTAAGACTAGGGTGATATGGAGTAATTACGGGTGGTGTGGAGTCACGCTTGCGTGAAGTGGATTTTTGTTGTGTGTTGTATGTAAGGCAGCTTTGATGATGAACTTAGAATATCCGCGTTCAACTTTGAAGGGACTGCTCCATCACCTTGTCCTCACCCATTTACTGAGGTATGGTGAGCCCATAAGTGGGATCATTTCCAAGTCCACCCATAGTTGGGGGGTTTCAGGGGTTGTCGGCCGCTGGGCGGTTCAATAGCTGATTGAGTCATCTTTCCAAGACTCCTTTTGGGTCTCTCTCCCACTTCCCGGGGCGATCCACGTGACCAGTTCTGGCTGTGAGCAAGTGCAAGCACAGTGCGTATTGGTTATAGTGTGGTCGTGTAAAAGAATAAACTGCCTGAAAGGATGAACTCTCATATTTTCACGATCATAACGTGGGTTTCAAGTGAACATTTTATTCTGACAAGCAAAGTTATCACATAGAGAGTATATCGGTCCTAAGAATGGACTTTATGTAGCAAAACATGCCAGAGTAGTGCAATGTGTATCGCCTGTACTTCTGAAGTAGGCATAAGACTGTCCAATGAAGTTCTGATCCGACTCGCATTGCATCGTAGTGCTGCAGGTTCAACTGTTGGTGTCGTGTACAGTCAACTTATGACACTCGGCGGGGCATCAGAAAAGTATCCTTATTCTCGAAGTGTCCTTATACCCCAAGTCCCATTATATGTATTTACAGTTAGATGGGACTTTGCTCTAGGCATGGAAATTCTGTCGGTATTCGCGAATTGTCGTTATATGCGCAGTCGTTATTTATCGCGAAGTTGACTGCGACTCGTGCTGTATAGCCACATGGTATACCTATGGGACTATGAACAGCCGCGCGCACAACAGCGATACGTTGCATGTATGGCCTTCTTACCTCTGCACACATGCATATGATATGTCACACTTGATTTATCGCATGTAAGAAATTAAAAAAGAAAGTTGTTTTTCAAACACCCACGCTATAACCAATACCAAGAGTACATAACCCCCAAGAGTGTGCAACTGCCTGCACACCCTCTATGCTGTGCTGCCCCTTTAAAAAAGAAAGTTGTTTTTCAAACACCCACGCTATAACCAATACCAAGAGTACATAACCCCCAAGAGTGTGCAACTGCCTGCACAACCTCTATGCTGTGCTGCCCCTTTAAAAAAGAAAGTTGTTTTTCAAACACCCACGCTATAACCAATACCAAGAGTACATAACCCCCAAGAGTGTGCAACTGCCTGCACAACCTCTATGCTGTGCTGCGACGGCAGAACTTCACATCAAGTGACATGGTTCAAAAGGTTATGCTGGCAAACAGTGCAAAGTGACCACAAGAGACTTGTACCCAAAGCTGGGCTGCGTACAACCCTGTATCAATCATGCACAGAGTGCAAATAATGTGTACAGGTTCATCACGTGATGTGAAGTTCTGCCGTCGCAGACCCCATAGCTGGAGTTGCACACTCTTGGGGGTTATGTACTCTTGCCAATACAGTACCTTGTGTGTGTATGTGTTGTGTGTATCAATGTGCTGTGTGTGTTGTGCATGTGTATGCGCATACGTGTGTGTATGCGCATACGTGTGTGTGTGTGTGTGTGTGTGTGCGTGCGTGTGTGCGCGCGCGGTGTATACATGTACATATTGTGCCTACTCAGGTCATGCAGGGCTATGTACTGGACAACGGTGACCTAGATCGAGGAGTGGACAGCGATGGGTTCTTACCGACTGGAGACATCGGTCACTACGATGAAGATGGATACTTTTTCATTGTGGATCGGCTCAAAGAAATCATGAAAGTGAAAGGTAAGACAGTGGAGGTTGTAGAAATGCTCTGCCGTGTATTGCATATAACGTTACTTCCACGTACACTCAATCAGTGGACAGAACTGTTTCGTCCGTTGTGAACTCATCAGCGCAGCACAGAGAAGAAAATGAGGCCGAACCTGATAGCGATGAAAAAATAAATTTACCAAAGCCAAATTTAAACAAGGCCCGAACGTACCTTGCCAGAGCCGGTATTCAAACTGACAAGTCAGTGACCTCTGGATAATTGCTACCTCTATGTCGTCCTGGTTGAGTGCATGCCTCAGGTCGTCCAGCTTGTTACGAAGGCTACAAGCATTAGTCACCAGCAGTTTGAGTCCTGTTGGAGAATTTGGCAATACAGATAGAGGGATGGGACAAGAATTTGGCAGTGGAGAGAAAGGTGTGGGTGTATTCAAACCTGACATAACAGTAGCCATAAGGTTCTCACTGATATTGCAGAGAGATGTGCTGGAAGGGGAGTGCAATGAAAGCCAAAACTACAGAGTGTTAGAAAATTACCCCCACAAGCAGTCTCAGGCATACCACGGCCAAAAAACACAAGTCTGGACAAGTAATTATACTAACTGGAAGGTTATTGTTTGTGCTAATACATACGACAGTACAACAAGAGAGAGAACTTTGTTCACCAAACCATCGCCATCGGAACACACCAGAACTACTGTAAAAAAGAGCCAGGAGCAGCGTGTATCAGAAAGGAACTGGAGCATGCATGCGTACCACAGCAAGCGCAAACAGCTGCACAAAAGATGAAACATGACACTGCTATTATGACAGCATACATGCATGCGTACAAGAAAGCCGCAACCACAGGATGCACATGAATCACATGACAGGCAACAAGAGGTAAAAAGTAATGTCAACTACACAAGACAGAGTCATACAAGAGAAAGTCATAGTTCGATTACAAGAGATGCGTACGGTAAGGAGCATTGGAAGATGGATTACTGTCCCCTGCTTGTCCTCACCTTGCGGAATCCATTCCATTTCGAGGCTCTTACCTCTCCGCTACTTCCGGGAGAGCAGGATCTCGCTCGTCGTCGTCGCTTCACCTGTGACCTCCGCGTCTCTACCTCAGTCCACCCATTACCTATGGGGCTGTTGGCAGGTGTTGAGCGAGCAAGGCATGCGGGGAACGCATCGCGTTGCTCCTCTGTAATCACCTTTGGACTGAAGCTTTTCCCAGCGGGCTCAATGGAGGTATGGAGCTCCACTCTGGAACGAGAGTGCACTGCCTGCCGGTACACTGAGGGCTGTCCTAAAGGACATGTAATCCTCCACCTGCTTGGGGGTTGGAGGGAGCAACAGAGGACTAGAATCATCCGCCTTCATTCGGGTTGAAGATTCTGCTGCTACAGGGTGATGTAAACCTGGAGCCTGAACATATGCAGGCATGGCTGAATATGAAGGGGCAGCAGCACCGTATGGCTTCATACTCTGCTGTCGAGACGGTGAGTCTTCTTGTGTCGGTTCAGATCGTCAGTCCTGGCGAAAGCACTATTGCAGATATCGCAGGCGTGCGGTCTTTCTCCAGTATGAGTCCGGCCGTGTCTTTTCAGCTGGTCTTTTCTTTTAAAATTTAGTGGGCACGTCTTACTTCCTCCGTTAACAAAAACTTCGTGATGGATTTTTGAGGGGCTGATTTGGGCACAAACTGCCGTGAAATGAGTCGCAATCACTTTCTTGGCCTTCCCTGGCATGCCATGAAAGAGGTACGATGCAAGGCAAGCGACCTTTCACAACAAGCCGAGCGGAATCGATGGTTGCGCTGTGGCAACATAGGTGATGACAGTCATGGTGAGCGAAACTGAAATACCACTTCTCCGAGGGATATATTGCGCTGCTTGGCCTCTCTACTGTGATATCGGCGATATCAACAGTTCATGCACTCAAAGTCTCTCTCTCTAAACTACGATCACAATCAATGCTATGACACAGTCGCAGACTTTCACAGTTGAACTCGGGGTCGAGAGAGCCTAACTCTCGGGAACGTACTTCTCTTGGTCTGAATCACGGAAAGGCAAAGAATGATTGTGAACACTAGCAATTTATAGAGGAAGTTAGCTATCGGGGAGATCGATAAAACAGCGCAGCGGAGCAGGGAGAAGGATCGCTAGATCGAGATGGACAGCGTAGAGTACAGAATAGCTAGCCGGAGAACAGCGGGCTTTGCGGCAGAAAGATCGAGACTACGGGAAAAGACAGCGAGAACTAGCGGAAAGAATATCGAAGAGAAACAATGGAAACGTTATGTTTAGGTAGCGAATGAAGAAAGAGAAAGAGACGCCAGCGGTGTAACGGAATCCATAACTAATTGCTAAAGCAAGGGAGACAGTGTAGGAAAAGTGATATCTATTATTATGTGTGTGGACCAGACAGAGTGGCGGCAGGAGGAAGAATAAAATCTGTGAAGCATTCAGGCTATTGACTGTGGTGTGCAAAAAGCGTGTCTATCAGGCCGGCGTACAGGTTTCTATAGATGACAGGTCATGCATGCAAAGTGTCACGTGCTCCTACGCTACGGTGCGCCAATACTACACCACACCTTGTTTTCTTGAGAACACGCCCTCGTGTTCAAAGTATACAGGTAGTAAACATGAAAGAAAAATGAAGCAGGGAAAACAATATAGATAAGGGTGTCTTACGATGACGTTTAAAATGATCTTACAATTTATGGTTGTCTATAGCGGTGAGGTCGCTGGAGTGCATTCCGAGGCCGGAGGTTATAGCGAGGCGGCGGGCCAGCCAGCGGTACGGGTAGGTCGTCATCGCAGGTCGGGTTAATCTGGGCCGTATACTGTGCAGGAGCGACTGGCACTTCAGGCGGCCGAATATACGGCTTGAGGCGGTTTACGTGGACCGTCAGCCGTTGGCCCTTGCTGGCGTCTTCGATGGTGGCAGTGACAGAGTCCAGCACCTTACGGACAACGAACGGGCCGGACCAGTAGCTGTGTAGTTTGGGCGACTTTCCTTTCGGGACGACGGGCGAGAAGACGGACACTTCAGCACCGACCTGGAGACGTGGCTTTGTGTGGACGGTGCCGTCATAACCCTTCTTCTGGCGACGGAGGGCGAGTGCATTCAACTGGCGGGCATTAGCAAAGGCTGTCTTAAGGGACGCTTCCAGTTGTTGGACATAGAGCGGGTAGTCCGGATGTGGGCGTGGAGGTGAACCGTACATGATGTCCAGAGGGAGCACCAGTTCTCGACCAAACATGAGACGGCTAGGAGTGTGCTGGGTGGAGGCATGCACGCAGGACCGGTACGCAAACATCGTCCGTTGCAGGTGTAAATCCCACTCCTGATGGTCGGTGACACAGGCGGAGAGCATCTTCTCAAGCGTACGATTGAAACGTTCTATCATGCCATCCGACTGTGGGTGATAGGCGGTTGTCCTGGTCTTGGTAATATCCAGCAGCTTACATACGGTCTGCATGAGTCGGGACTCGAATTGAGGGCCCTGGTCGGTATGGAGAGCGAGAGGTACACCGTAACGGCACACGAAGCCATCAACAAAGTAGCGGGCAACGGTGGAAGCAAGCATATCTGGCATGGCGAAAGCTTCCACCCACTTTGTGAAATAGTCGCCGATGACGAGGATGTACCGATTTTGGCGTGCCGTGGCGGGTAGCGGGCCCATGATGTCCATGGCAACACGCTGAAGCGGGAATGACGACTGTTGACTGCGGAGAGGAGCGGCAGGCTTTGGGACTGGGCCTTGGCGAGCTTGGCAAACTGGGCAGGCCCGAATAAACACTTCAATGTCCGAGGTCATTCCCGGCCAGTAGTAGCGCTGTCGAGCTTTGTCGGCCGTCTTCGTGATGCCGAGGTGAGCAGCAATAGCGTCAGTGTGGAGCGCAGTCAGGATGTCCTGGCGAATTGCAGATGGGACAATCAGCTGGTGAATTGGTTCGGCGGTCGTGTCATAGCGTCTGACGAGGAGGCCATCCTTGATCACTAGGCGGTCAATCTGTTGCCAGAGTTTGAGCAGAGATGGACTGGCGGTTTGAAGAGCAGGATCACCACGAAGCGGAGTGGTTGTCGACAGCCAGTTTAGCACGGCTGAAATGTCACGGTCAGCGGACTGGAGAGAGAGCATGTCGGGCGCCGCACCAGCAGCGCATTCCTGGGCAGTAACAACAGACACACAGACTGCGGGCAGACGAGAAAGAGCGTCTGCATTAGCATGTTTCGTACCAGGACGATGAACAATGTGATAATCAAAGATCGACAATCGCTCAATCCAGCGGGCAAGCATGCCATCAGGGGACTTGAAGGAGGCAAGCCAGACAAGAGCAGCATGATCGGTGCGGAGCGTGAATTTGGAACCCAGGAGATAATGCCGGAAAGATTCACAGAAATGAACTACTGCAAAGCACTCTCGATTGGTCGCAGTATAATTTTTCCGACTCTTGGACAGCGTAGCACTACCATATGCAATCACAACTTCACGACCCTGGTCATCTGCCTGAGAAAGAACCGCCCCGATTGCATAATCACTGGCATCGGTATCTAAGATAAATGCACGTGAAGAATCAGGATAGCCCAGGACAGGAGCAGAAAGGAGGCAAGACTTGAGCCTGTCAAAGGAAGACTGTGCCTCTGAAGACCAAACAAATGGCACATTCTTGTGAGTGAGACGGAGAAGAGGCTTAGCCACTGCAGAGAAATTCTGGATAAAGCGCCGATAATAGGAGACAAAACCCAAGAACTGTCTGACCTTAGTAGACGAATCAGGCGTTGGCCATTCACGAACGGCGGCGGTCTTCTGGCGATTGGGAGCAACACCCTCAGCACTGAACGTATGACCGAGGTACACGACTGAAGGCTGGAAAAGACGACACTTAGAAGGGCGGACCTTGAGGCCAGCCGACTTAAGACGCTCAAACACCGAACGAAGACGGGTCAGCTGAGTATTGAATGACTGGGCATGTACAATGATGTCATCAAGATAATCAAGGCATACATCGGGAATCAAA